TGGTGTCCAGTCAACGACGTAGCCGGCACACTCGGAGATCTCCTTCGAGGAGACAACAATCCTGCCTACCCAATCTACCACATCGAGAATCCCGTCAGACAGCCCTGGCCCGAGATGATCTCGATACTCTCCGATGCTCTGGACATATCGCCAGCCAACATCGTTCCATATGATGACTGGCTCCAGCGTGTCCGTAACTGTCCTCCTAGCATTCCGGCATCGGAGAATCCCGCAGTGCGGCTTATCGACTTTTTCGAGGCGGACTTTTTGCGCATGTCCTGTGGTGGAATGATACTCGATACAACACATAGCAAGGAGCATTCGGCGACGTTGAGAAATTCGGGTCCGGTTGACCGAGAGTTGGTCATGAAGTATATTCGGGCGTGGAAAGAGTCGGGGTTTTTGGTGTAATTAATTTTTGTAAGTGTATATGTCTGATTGCAAGTGGATGTGGGCTGAGGTACGACCCTCCGTATATACGGGAGGTCAGCACACCCTTCACGTGTAAGCTATTGAATAATTGGTGGGAGCCTGTACGACGGACTAAATCGACGTTCCAGACAACATGAATAAAATATTACCAAACTTCCCAATACCAACACACTATATCTTAGCCAGAGTCAATTAATTTAATTTATTTAAAAAACTCTACTGTACTCCGTAGTATCTACTATTTATTAGCTTAAATAATTAATTTAGCTCTAAATACATTTATAATTTCTATAATTTTAATTTTATCCTATTCTTTTATTTTTAAAAATTTATATCCTAAGGTACTGTATACTAGCCCCTAAATTTAGGGATTACTATATACTATTAATCTCAAGGTAGCAGGATCTCTAAGCTTAGCTTTACCACTACTATCTACTACTACCGTCTACTACTACCGCCTATTATTATTACCTACTATTATCTCCTACTACTGTCTACTGTCTACTACCTACTGCCTGCTGTCTAGTATCTACTATCTAGTATTACTATCACTACAACTACTAATACTAAAAAATTCTAATTAAATATAAACTGTGTATTTTATAAATAAACTTAGTATTAATATATAATATATAGTATATTTTATAGAGTAAGAGCAATACTTAAATAAGTACATGGTTTAATGTAAAATGACAAGATTTCGGTCAGAAATCTCTATTGTCTGGAATATCGATTTAGTCCGCCGTAGTTGTATGTATTTAGAGTTTGTTGATTATAAAAACTTGATCATTTATTTAAACCCGAAGATCAACTCACACAACACTCTCTTTAGTCTTTTTATCCCAGTACTCTCCAACCATATTGTATACGTTTCTGTCAAGACATCAATGTACAACAAATCACCAAGCCCGGTGGCTACCGGCATGCACCAGACTTTAAAACAGTCGAGCGAAATGCGCAATTTTGCGCCTTGGGTCCATGGATTCGGCGAATACAGTGACATAAAAGCAGTTGTGGGGTCCATGCTGTCCGGAAGGAGGTGTAAGGGATAGAACAATACCTACCAGAAAAATCCCACATTCGGCAAATGGAATGCTGGTTTCAATGAGAATAGATTGCTCCAGCCTTGCAGCTTTAGCTCACTCTATCTAAACACTAAGATGTCCATGTGACCGTGACGAACGCGGAGCCTTACCATCGTTTTTATTTATTCCCCTCACTTGACATTTATTTCCTAAAGGCAGAACCCCGGAACCTTGTTCTTATGCTTTCAGCTATAGGATCCTACAAGAAGACCTATACTTGTTGTTAAATTGCGCGCATCTTGAGGAGAGTAATGGCAAAGCTCTCTCGGCACGATTACACGGTCGGGTGGATATGCGCCTTGCCTCTGGAGAGCGCAGCTGCGTGGCTAATGTTGGAAAAAATACACCCAGGTCTGGACATCCCGCAGGAAGACCGAAATACATATACCTTGGGAAATATTGGGAAGCACAACGTTGTTATTGCGTATTTACCAAGTGGCGGATATGGCACCGTCCCTGCTGCGACGGTAGCAGTACAACTGCGTACCACTTTCCCCTCCCTCCGATTTGGTTTAATGGTCGGTATCGGTGGAGGGGTGCCAAGCAGTGGTCTAGATATTCGATTAGGTGATATTGTGGTGAGCCTGCCCAAACAAGATTGTGGAGGCGTGATACAATATGATTTTGGTAAATCATTAAGCGGTGGACGTTTCGACCGAACTGGTATGCTGAACCGACCACCAGAGATCTTGTTGACTGCCATCTCAAAACTCCGATCCTATGACGACTTGAAATGCAGTCAGGTTCCTGAATTTATTTCGCATGCCCAGGCCAAAAGGGCCAAATTTGCACGACCGCAGCAGGAGGATCGCTTATTTCAAGCAGGCTACACGCACAGAGATGGCGATACATGTAAAGAGTGTGACCCAGCTCAAATAATTCGACGTTCTTTACGAAGCAACAATGACCCTGTCGTCCATTATGGACTGATTGCATCGGCAAATCAAGTCATGAAAGATAGCAGACGACGAGATCAGCTAGCTAAAGAGTTTGGGGTATGCTGTGTGGAGATGGAAGCGGCAGGAGTCATGAATATTATTCCATGTCTAGTCATTCGTGGTATCAGTGACTATGCCGACTCACACAAGAATAAGGAATGGCAACGATATGCCGCGATAGCGGCGGCCGCGTACGCCAAAGAGCTTATCCTGGTGGTTTCCACCAATCTGAGCAACCATCCCTCCACAACGCAAGAGGAGAAAGCAATGAATCCTGGTCACAGATTAAATACCACCGCAGCTAACACACTTGATGTATTGAATCAAGGCCCGGAAATGACCAAGGAGGTAAATAACTGGTCTCAGCAAATAGTAGCAGAGCATGGAGATGTTCCCAGATCAGATCATACCAAAAACCAAGAGAGCCTGGAAGAGAACTCAGCTCCTGAGAAGAGAACACACATTTTATCCGCCATTAAAGGATTTGCATCTTTGGATATCCTGCGATTATCAAGTGGAACTGCCGCGCTACATATTACTGAAGAATGTGGAAACCCCCCGATCCAATTGTCCAAAGACACAATAATGCAACCAGAGCCAGTTCGAAGCAACAATAACAAACAGGTTAACCATACTACACTGAAAGGACATTCCGGCTTGGTAGAGTGTGTGGCCTTCTCCCCAAATGGGAAAACTATAGGCTCTGGATCGTTGGACAATCAAGTTAGACTCTGGAATGCTACCAAAGGTATAACAAATTTCGTACTTAGTGGTCATTCTGACCGTGTGAATACTATAGTATTCTCACCAGATGGACGACTACTGGCATCTGGGTCACGGGATAAAACCGTCAGGCTCTGGGATACTACTAAAGGCACAATAAAAGTTGTACTGAATGACCAATCTGGCCGTGTGCGCACTATCAAATTTTCCCCGGATGGAACTCTAGTGGCATCCGAATCTTTCGATGGGGATTACAAACTCTGGCATAGTACTACAGGCAACATGCACAGGATATCGAATGACCCATACCGTCGCCTGACCGCAGTTGAATTTTCGCCGGATAGCAGAATGGTGGCATTTGGAACTCATGATGACAGTCTTGGGCTTTGGAACAATGATACAGGTACATTCCAAACGTTAAGGGGAACCTCGGTTGAAAAGGTGAATTATATGACATTTTCACCAGATGGGTCAATACTTGCATGTGTAGTTGGAAAGAAAATTACTTTATGGAACACTACCACATGCACGATGCATTCAACGTTGAGTAGCCATTCCCAGAGAATAAATACCATGGCATTCTCACCAGATGGGGCACTGGTGGCATCAGGATCTAGTGATAGGACAGTCAGGCTTTGGCAAACTGGCACGGGTACAATGATTAAGATTCTGACTGGCCATTCGAAGCCTGTGAATGCTGTAGCATTCTCCCCAAATGGAACAATAACGGCATCAGGATCTGATGATAAAACCGTTAGGCTTTGGGATGTTTCCACGGGCGCGACGCAAACATTCAAGGGCTATTGGGGTAAAAATTGCAACAGCTTGGCATTCTCACCAGATGGGAGACTCGTAGCTTATCCATCCGGCGAGAATATCAAGATCTGTAGCACTGGCATACAGAACTAGATTAGGATCCTCATAATCATGCAAGGCCTTGCTAGCTACCTTATCTTACTTTGTACCTTTTCGCAATATTTTGTCCTAGAGACATTGGCCACGCACGAGAAATGCCTGTGTGTGTGGTAGATATCTAGTGAGTTATCACAAGGAAGGGTTCTATAACCTACACCTAGAATACTGTCATTAACATTTGCTCCTGATTGGGCTTTTATGAACTTCCCGGCACTGTCGCATTATGCTCAGTGTGCCTGACCGTGGACCATGGCACATATATATCCTCATCGCCCAAGGTGGTTGGGAGCAGAATATGGCGCGACGATATTAAATGAAGGGATTGTTAGTAGATAGGAGAGATGTGCTTCTTATAGATCCCAGGTGATAGTTAACATAATCCGCCACAGAGCCGGCAGGTTTTCCTCAAGGCGTATTATCATCATTACTTAACACAGTTTTTATTTTTTTTATTACACAAAATGCCGCTTTTCCAAGAAAACCATCACCAAAGCATTTCATTCTAATAAAATAACCATGTCTAAACTTAAGGCACCCAAGATCTGCAACGCTACCCGAATCTGGTATCGGAGCCGACTGTCCGGGGCTCGGGGAAGTCTCGACTTCGGAGTTAACTGGTCCTTGGCAACAATTTTCCTTGGGGGAGCCGAGTATAGGAAGCGTTTATAACACCGGCGATTGGTCGAGACTGCTTCATACTTCCAATAGGACAAAGAAGAAAGAAATCTGAATACACGCCCCCTATAATATCCAGCCCTAAGATCTGAGTAATATCAGGTGTAGTCTGACTATATATCAGCCCGATACCAGCCCTATTTACTTTGCAAGAATATTACTTTTCTCCTCAAATGTTTCTCTTTTCTCCCATATTACAACTACCACTATAAGAATACGTATCCCATTCTCACTACAACAATGTTCCGTTCCCTCCTCACTCTCACAAAACTCGCTTCTCCACAATACATCTTCCCAACCGTCGACCCTAAAATCGACGGTGAGGAATGTCGCCACGACTGCGCCGATTGCACGGTGAAATGGCCGTCCAAGGTGAAAATCGACACCACACTCCCGATGTACGGGTACATCAAACAATTCCATGCGCATGTACTCGTGGCAACAGGGAAGACGGATTGGATCGGGAAGGTAGAGCAGGAGAAAGGGAGTTTGATGGAGGCGTTTAAGTCTGATGGGGGGAAGTCGAAGCAGGGAGTACGGATTTTCATTTTCATTTTCTTTTCCCCTATGTTCTGGTACTGTTTTAGTTGACTTGGGTTGGTTGTTGATGGTGTTACAGAGAATAATGGTTTCCGCATCGAATCTCACTCCGCCAGAGAGTGAAAACGGAGAGATTGATTCGGGGAAGACGACCGTGTTACTTTTACCATCTTTTACTTTCGTGGATGGTGTTGGCTACGGAGATGTCCGACATGTCGTGGATACGTTTATTGATAACCCGAAACAAGAATCCCCGTTGTCGTCACGACCCTGTCCTCATGACTACGTTGTTCTTCTCTGCTCCCATCAACGACGCGATGCCCGCTGTGGGATCACAGCGCCATTGATTAAAAAGGAGCTGGAGCGCCATCTGCGCGGGCACGGACTGTACCGGGATCTGGATGATGAGCGACCCGGGGGTGTGGGGATTTACTTTGTTTCTCATGTTGGGGGGCACAAGTTTGCGGCCAATGTTTTGATTTATCGGAAGAAGGAGCAGCAGATGATTTGGTTGGGGAGGGTGAAGCCGGAGCATTGTGAGGGGCTGGTGAAGTATACCATTCTTCAGGGGAAGGTGGTGCATCCGGATTCGCAGTTGAGGGGTGGGTTTGATCGCATGAAGGGGTTGACTAGTTGGTGAGATTCGTGGTTTTTTGTATATAGACTTTCCTCGGCGGAGGGAAGGTTGGCATGTTAGGGTTTCAATGGTCACGCTTATCTATTACTTCCTGCATACTATTGCCTTCGTGTCTGGTTGCTTCAGATGTGGGTTTCTCTCTGGTTGTGGTCTAGTTCAAAGACTTGTACGTAGATGTAGGTGTATAAAACCATGAACCTGTCGTGGTCTATTATGCTGGAACGTGTGTTGGCTATGACATCTCTCCTGCTGTCTGTTTGCCGCAGGCATTATACGACCGTTAGTCACTAGTTTATCTCTACCTCATTTATTGACTCCTCCTCTAATCCAACTGTACATTGCCGTAGTCCCTGGCCTCTAGGATACCATGGCTCGCCCGCAATCTCTAAATGCTAATTGCCCCTTGTCTAGGAAGCGAAGCCCAGAACAAACCAATCCCAATAAGCAAACCCAGCATGATCGGCTGCATCACTTGGACACCAGCCCGAGAAGCGATAGCGCCCGTCATAAAAGGGAAGGCAGCGGCGCCCGCCTGTCCCAGACTCGCCGCGAGCCCTGTCAACAAAGATAAGTACGTATAGTCAAAGCCCGTGATACAAACAGCAGCTCACCTAAAGCCCCAATTCGAAGGTTATCTGGCACCACCTGGGTAAGAACATAAAGTCCAATGGGATAAAACGGCCCGATGACGAATCCTGTACATTGATCTGTCAGTCGACCCATTGAGTAACCAGGTCCAGATAACCTACCTAATAGGAAAACCGCGATAGCAATTACAATGATATTTGGAACCAGCCAAAAAAGGAGCTGCATGATGACAGCTAAAGTGAGGTAGACAAACACCATCCGACGTTCTCCAAAATAGTGCGTGATATCTGCGAGAGCAACACGGCCTAGTGTGAACCCCGCCCAGAATCCGGAGGCTATGTAGCCTACTTGTTTTGGGTCCCCATTTCTTACGGAGACGATGAATTGGACCATCCAGCCTAACATTGTTAGTATGCTCCTTTCCCGTTTTGTATCGCTAATTCAATCCATGAGAAAATAACTCACCACCGACAGTGACCTCTGCGCCGACATACAAAAAGAAGAATCCACTGAGAATCCAGACCGCTTTATTAGATAGCGTAGCTTTCAATTCGCTGCCAGCTGTTCCGCTCGCATTTCTGTTGTTAGGCTTGAATAGACCTTCTCGGAATGTCCACCTCAAAAGACAGAAATTCAACAGTCCCAAGCCCATCATCACGAAGTAAAAGTCATGCCAGACTGGCGTCCGCGAGGCAATCACATTCGCAACGATAGGTGAGATAATTGTGCCAACGCCATATACTGCATGCAAGATTCCCAGCCAGCGATGCGCATTATCCACTGTTGTTGTAAATGTATTCGCTTGGGCATCCTGATAGGCACCTCCCATGCCAGTGAAGAAGAAGGCAGCGACAAAGAGTGCAAAGGGAGGGTGCCAGTACATCAGTGCGAATCCGCATGTTTGGATCACTGCTCCTAGCACTAACGTGCCGCCCGTGCCGATGAGCGAGCACACATGGATATTGGAGAAAGATGCTGCAAGACAGCCGGCACAGTTTACGAGGTAGATCTGGGAGAGCTGGAAGAGGGTGACGCCGTAGGTTGGTTGGATGTATGGGATGAGGACTCCCAAAGCGGCGTCTGCTTGTGATTAGTCCTCGCATTGACGATGGAAGTAAGTGAGGATGGCTAGATACCGTTTAACCCAGCAACCAGAAGGCTGACATTAGTACTGACTATCTTGCCAGTGACGTCCCTTGCACGCTTTTGCAGGAGAGGTGCTGTTTCACTCGGTGTATGTCCTTCCTCTCTGCTAGAATCATTCACTATGGTTGCCGGACCACTGGTGCTTTCCATCGTGATTGCTCAAGATCTAGAACTTGAGCCCTGAAAAGCTTTGGAATCGTCAGTAGCGAGAAAGTCTTGCCAAGTGGATAGTTTAATATAGTATTCCAGCATCGGAGCTCTGGTGGAGATCGCATCATCACCTGATCGCGGCTAAGCCTCATCTAAAAAAAGATGAGGGGTACCTAAAGGATCGTGCACGCAAGGAGATCAGGGCTCAGAGATAAGCCAAGCATTTCCCATAATGGTGGGGAATTTGTTGCTCATGGAGCTTCGAGCTCGGTATGCTCACCTCATTTATTGCTTCTCCACTGGCCGCAGCCGACGCATCTCATATATCCCTGTTGATATCGGCCCACTGACATGGATTGAGGAGAGACGCCTGCTTAATAGTTTAACGAGATGCACAAGTCACACTTTTAGTATTCAGCGATTATGGAGGACCGTGAGCCCGTCCAGAATTTGTAAAACGACAATATCGAAGGGTTCTGGAACCCAATCCTTCGCAAGCACAATGATGGTCAGCTAGAGCAGATAGTAACTCTTTTTCATTGACGGGATAAGCAGGCAGGTGTACATGAAGAGGTATACTCCTAGCTTCTCTGTGGTGGAATTTCTGGGCATTACAGCCAATGCTGCCAAAGTTATGCTATGACGGATGAGCAGTAGGACGAGGTGGAGGATGATCTGAGTGATAGACTATCATCCCGGGACATGCAGTGTTTCCGGCGAGGTGAAAGACACCTTCCATCGCCTATTAAATGCCTGGATTACTCGGTATTTCGCACATATGCCTTTGTCTTCTGGGATGGGATGGTATCAGGTCGGAGGCTTTCTAGAGACATGGGTTGCACGCTATATGTGGTTTGCTTGGTTGAATAAGAATGTGGTATATAATATTCCACTACCACGGCGTTTCTAGCTCATCGGATTGGATTTACATAATTGCATAGGCTTTGTATTGACATGGCAGAGTGTATTAATACTGTGTCTTCACCGAATTGAGGAACTTGATACGCAATCGAGTCTTACACGCTGAAGATACAACCATAACCAAGCTGCCACATTTCTAAACCAAAGTAGTCTAACTGAACTTTGCATTGAACATACTATATACATATCATTCCCCCTATCCACCACAATTATGCAATTAGCTAGCCTAATACTATACAACATGAAGCTATCTGACACAGAAACTAGATGTCTTGCATGCACTCGTGACAACCTGCATCACAATTCCACGTATCCTTTAGTTCAGCCCCTTAAGAAGCTCCGGGAAAAGGAGCTCATCAAACTCCCACAACGTCGTCTGGAAGTTAACCGAGAAAGCACCACCAGTCCACCAGGTCGACCGACCACCCTGCAACGCGTTCAGTTTCTGGAAGAAGCCCGCCTTGACATCGGCGACTGAAACCCGCGCATGCATGGGACCGTGGGTCGCAAAGTCCACCCAGCTGAGCGGCTCCCCGTTGCTCGTTTTCGCCAAGCGGCCTGAACGCAGCAGTGTGTTGAAGTCGTTCTGGACCAGTCTCTTGGCACCCTTAGTGTCGAGAGTGCTGTTGCCGACAATGGTTACTCGGAAGAGGTCGTCGCCGCCGATGTAGTCAATGCGAGCGGTGAAGGACGTGTCGGGCAGGGCGAGGTAGTTGCTCGGCGCAGCTGTCGGGGGCAGGTTGAAATAGGATTGGTTGACGGCGAAGGCGGCGTTGTTCACGATTCCGGTGTACTCGTTGGTGTAGGTGAATCGGGAGAGGACGTTCTTTTCATTGCGGTCCAGGTCGAACGGGGCCATGTTGGCTGCAGTGGGCTCGATGGCGAGCAAGAGACGGCGAGCGTGGATCCGGGTGGTTTCACCCGTCTTGTGGTTCTTGACGGTAAGGATGACGCTGGAGTTGCTGCGGTGGCTCTCAATCACGGTGCTGGAGTACAGGACGTCGCCGGCGAGATCTTCTGCGATGGCATCGTACAGGTCCTGATTGCGACCCGATGCGGGCGCGAGTTGGTTTTGCTTGCCCACCATCGCACGCGCCATGGAGGCACCGAAACCCTGCAGCACGAACATGGTAGTTTCCTTGGTCATGTCGCCCAGCCCCAGACCGGTAGACTCATACATCAGAGGGACAGCGGCTTCCAGACCATGCTTGGTGATAAAGTCGCCGTAGGGGATCAGAAGGTCCTCCGGGATTGCACCTGGCTCCGGGAAGTTGCCGTAGCCAGGTTGCATCAGATGTTCCCATGGCTCCACAATCTCGAGGAATTTGGCCATGGCCGCCATCTGGTCCGCCATAGGCGGCAGCGTGAAGTTGACGGGGTTTCCGGTCTTGAAGTCAATATACTCCGTGTTGACACTGACCATTGATGGAGATCCAACCTCAATGCCAAAGCGATCGAAGAAGCCCGTCGCGTTTCCAGCATCGAGGAAGGTCATTACACCGAAGTTATAGGGCTTGCCGGTCTTGGGGTCGGTGTACGAGTCGACCATGCCACCCTACCCATTGAACATGCGTCAGCTTGCAATTCCTATTGTCGCATAATTTCCGCGATTGTTCCAAAGTGTTTTATTTGCTCACCAAAATATCCTGTTTCTCAATGAGGGCGATGCTCTTGCCAAAATCGTCCCGGATACGAACGGCAGCGTAGGCACCGGAGGCACCGCCACCCACAACCACAACGTCTTTATAGAGAACATTTGGTGATGAGCCCGCTGCTACCAGCGGGACGGCAGCTAAGAGACCAAAAATGGATGTAGTCAGGGACAGCATATTGTCGAATATGCCTCTTTTCCCAGGAAGCTGGAAAATTGAGCTTTGCAAGGGGAGGCACCGCCTATTGCCGTACTCAATGTGAGGAATTAATTGACCAAAAAGTAGCGACAGGAAAGATTAAATTGCCACAGGGGACAACCTTGGCTATATTTCATTTCATTGTGAGCGGCAGTCCTGTCCATGGTCGACTACCGACATATTGAGGACAACGGGACCGCTAAAGAGCGGAACATAGTACTAAGTGCATAGTGTCCCCAGCTCTACACTATTGCCTGCCGCTGTACCATATATATTCGTTAAGCGACATTTTAGTTCATAAGATGGTGAAACAGCGGGAGCAGCTTTCATATAAGTAGCGCAGGGACCCTTGTCCAATCCCTGTCTAGTACGTCTTGTTGGTAAATTAGAGACATTTTAGGCTATTATGGGCCAACAGTCCTTACAGGGACCGACATTAGTCCCATTGTTCTACCCTATCGTTGTATACCTCCACATGCCTAGCCGCATAATGGACCGTGTTCTGTTCCGCGGAATCCGAAACCCTAAGGGTTGGGACAGTAGGATCATGGTGTGGAATACTTCGTACTCAGGGTAGTTACTCCGGAATATAACCGGTCGTTAGCAGGGGATCCACTCTGGGTGCATTGACCCCGGGGGAGCTCGGACCGAGATGGACGGCAACTTACGGCGAAAGATCTTTGAACGATATTGCTAACTAGTTAGTTAATGGGGCCAGAATTAGGTAACCTGGCCTGAACAGCCCATTCTCATTGGTGTCGGAGGTGGCAGGTTAGGGTTATATCTAGGCATCCTTTTATTGCCATATATTACTTTGCTGAAAAGTGTCAGTCTCCTCTCCCCCAAAACAAAAGCCAAGTTAAATACCTCGGTCTAAACAATTGTGGTATGCTGCTTCCCTGTACACTGGCGCATTGTATACTAGAGTCGAGATATTGTATGACTATCTTCAAGACAGCGTCTCCTCGACGTCCTCGAAGCGACTAAATACCAGCCAGCCACGAACACATGTAGAAATCTAATTAGATGACAAGGATGTGAATCCAAGCATCTACTAAGCAAATCGTAGAGCGCCAGATAGACTTTGATTAATTTCTTACTTAAGTCGCATCAGTTGTCAGGACTGCTTTCCGCAATTCGCACATGCCTCTGCAAGATCTTCCTCTACCCTCCCTCTAATCTTAATCCCTGCGAGACCCTAAAGAAACAATGTTGGCCCTAGTTACGCATCTCCGATAATGGGGTGTACCTCCTCAACTACCACGCCCTCAATGTCGGTCTCTTCACCAACCTCGATCCCTCCTTAAATGCCGACGTCTACGGGCAACACCAGAGATGTGGTGGCTGATGAGAGCCATCGCAGTATCATTATAGGGGTACAGACGGCACTGACGGCCCTGGCCGTCGTTGTTGTCTGTCTCCGTTTATATGTTCGCATGAAGATTGTTAGGAGTTCCGGGTGCGACGACTGGATTATGGCTCTTGCGACGGTATGCGCTTCCTTTTACATTGTCTTGCTTTTGAACCAGCAACTATAACCAGTTCAATGCCAATTTGCACGAACTTGATCCACATATATGCAGTTCAGAATTACTTACAAACTTCGCGCAGCTCTGTTCCCTCGGCGGCTGGATCCTCTACGTCTACAAAACATGTCACGGCCTCGGGCACCACATCCAATTCCTTGACGACATGGAGAGAATGAAGTTGGACGAAGCGGCGTTCTGGCAGGTCATTATCTGCTCGGCTACTGGGATCGCGTTGCTCAAGATATCCATTGCCTTGAATTTGCTGAGGTTCAGCCCGACCCGATGGTACACCATGTCTTTATGGGCAAGTATTGGTAAGCCAGACTTTGTCCATTGCCAATGATAAGTAGTAGCAGGCTATTAAAGACTTCTACAGCTTTTGTCGCAGCGTACAGCTTCATGGGCGCGATGACATTCTTCCTCCATTGCAAACCGATGCAAGCACATTGGGATAAGCAAATCAAAGATGCGAAGTGCTACTCCGTACATCTATTTGTCGTCTTCGCTCTTATCAATACATGTATGTGCCCATAGCGATCATAAAGTATTAAAGAAACTCTTCGCCGACTCAGTCATAGCCTTCAACATCTTCACCGATGTTCTTTTCGCCACGATCCCCATCCCAATCGTCTGGAATTTACGCATGAAGCGTCAAGTTCGCATGTATCTGATCGGTGTCTTCAGTCTCGGTTACTTGTCAGTGCCCCCTTCCCATTTCGAATCGGAAAAGAATTAATCCCACTAACAGAACAAACAGCACAGTTGGTCTAGGCGTTATCAAAGCAGTTGCTCAGCTCGCATACTCCAATGAGACGGATATTTTCTTGTACGTTGCAGAGTCACCTCACAATCTAACCTCATGTATTCATATGGCATGCTAACGGCCCGTTTCTTCTAGTAACGACTCTATCCTCTTCTGGGGCCTGTACGTGTCTTTCTCCCCTTCGCTCCCTAACCTACATACATATGACTTACCATTGATTCTTAGTGCTCAATTCAATGTTGGAATTCTTACCGCCTGTGTTCCGTCGCTTAAGCCGCTTGTCAGGAGAGTTCTCAAGCTATCCGAATACACAGATTCACGCTCGCGCTCACGTGGACTATATGGCAGACGTTCAACAGGTCGCTGGACGAGTAGCAGGCATAGCCGTCGGGTGTTCTCAATCCATAGGCGGGACCAATATGGAATTGAGGAGTTGCACAGCCATGATTTGTCTACGCGCAGCCAGTCTGATGAAGTGAAGCTCACGCCGTACGGAGCAACGGTGTCATTTACGGCTCATGCTGAGAGGGGGAGGCTTGACGATAACAGTGGGATCGAGGAGGCTGTAATTGGCGAAACGTCTCTAGAAAAACGAGTGGTTGGAGGTATCTTGAAGACAACGCAAACTACTGTCATTAGCAGCAGGGCTGTCGATTAGTGACTATAGCATCATAGCCATCGTATTTAAAAAGTAATTGACATGATCAAATTAGCATACGCAAAGTCTATCACCAAAGTAACCACGCCACTAGCTGTGTGTATGCTGCTTCGTCATCGTCCGCAAGGTTGGGGTCATAATCACTCCCCAGTCGACCCGCGGTGACTTCCTTTGCACGAATAGCATCTCTGAAGCAATCTGCTGCATGTGCATGGCCCTCAGCTTTATAGATCTTGTACTTTCGGAAATACGCTAAAGCTAAATAACCCTCCGCTTTTGGTAAGCTGCTAGCAACCGAAATACATTCATCGAGAAGCTGTCTATAGGCCGTTCAGTTTCATTAACATGTTGCCTCTTAGAGCGAGCCAAGTCAAACTTACAGAGCAGCCATGGATTTCTGCGTCAGTAACATGAGCTTCGCAACATGGCACAGAGAATCACAAGTCTTGAAGCGAGAGCCGAACTTCTGTCGCCTGAATTGAAGGACTTTGGAGGCGAAGTCTAATGCTTCGTCTAGTCGGCCTTGAGCCTGTCGCACCATACTCAGCAGCTGCATGCCACTGGCATATCGAGGTAGATTCTCTCGTAGAAGTTGCTCATCCGTCAAATCGCAGACATCTGGAACGGACGTGTACATGGCTTCGGCCTCATCTGGCTTTCCCATTCGCAAAAGGCAACTAGCAATATTAGCGTAGGAATTGTCCACCATTCGGCAGTTGGTTGCCTTTCGGAACTCTAGTGATCGCTGGAGGTAACTCATCGCTTGCGTCAGGTCTCCTTTCTCGGTATACGCGAAGCCTACGTTGCTGATGCTGACTCCTATTCCCCAGTCGGTCGGTGGCAGTATACTCTCCCTTATCTCCAATGCTTGCTTCAGGTTTCGCAAAGCTTTAGTATTTTCCCGAAGGTCGACTTGTACTAGCCCCATCACGTTGCGAGCCTGTGCATATCTGCTAGAGTTCGTGTCTCCCTTCCGTTCTAAGGCTTGCAAGCAGACCTGGAGGAGGTTTTGGCTTTCCTCGTAGTATTCAGCCTCATATAGATACCTAAAGCCGAGTCAGATACACGCTCTATTCAAAAAATACTCAACACGGAGTAAATCCAGGAATGGTAAGAAGAGACAGCGGAAATAAAACAAGAGGGAATAAGAGAGACGGAATTGGTGGAAAAAGTTGAAAGAGATCTCTCACCATGAACATCGAAGCAGAAGCTCAATAAACGTATCCGAACAATTTACCCCCCCTTCAACCTGCGCAAATCTCTCCGCCAAGGACATAACGTGTCGCAAGCATTTCTCACAAGCTTCCCAGGCATGGTACACCCAAACATGCTCCTGGTCGGTCCATGAACTTGGGAAGGCCTGGCATAGAATCTGGGAGCATAGATCAAAGTAGCGTGCTTTTTCTGTAGGGGAAAGCCCTGAAAGCGTCGCTTGTTGAATCAAACGGTGGACAGAAATGCTTTTGCTACGTGGGTCACGGTCTATCAATGCGGCCCGGAGGAGCTCTGCTTTGGCATCCTCAAAGTCAATGGGATCCGCCAGAAACATTAGGATAGAGTCATTAAACAGGGTCTGGTTGGAAAGTGCAGAGGCGGCGTTGCATAAGGTAGCCTCGTCGATAGCCTCGGGGTCAAGAAAGGCCAGCAGGCGTTGTAGCACGGCTGCATTGCCAGTGAGCTTTTCCAAAGCAAGCTCCCACACCGTTCCAATTGTGTGCTGATAATCAAACGCGGCTGGGCGTCTCTTGTGCAGCTTATCCTGGTTATTTTGGTAAAGGATGAGGAAGTCCTTTAGGCCCATCTTCTGCTGCCGGATGTAGCTGCTCATTTGGTTCAACGCAAGGGGTAAACCCCCTAATAACTTATTAAGCTCAGCAATTAATGGGGCATTATTGGGATATTCATAGCTAGGTCCCAGAAGGCGCTGCAGAGCTTCGGTACCCATCCTGGCATCAAAGACATTCACATAGATACCCTGTGAGGCGGGGTGCAGACTAGCATTGAAATCGCGGGTTGTTATTAGGATAGACCCTACTACACCGTGTGGCCAGCCATAGTCCAGAACCTCCAAGTTGTCTGCGTTATCGAATATCAGAAGCCAGGAGCATGTTGTATCTGCGAGCCAAGATTTCACTTTGACCATGGCCCCGAAAGCATCCTGAGTCTCCAGTGTTGCGGGAATCACACCGAGGCGTCGCGCGACAGCCATGTAGTCCTGTGCCATTTTAACGGTACTGTCCGCGGATATCCAAAGAACCACATCATATTGCTCCCGTGTACGATGGGCATATTGCAATGCTACCTGAGTTTTGCCTGCTCCGCCAATCCCATACAACGCCAAGGTACATGGGCCAGAGCGGCCAACCTTAGGGCTTAGGGCATCAGCGACCTGATCTAACAGGCCTTCACGGACATAGAAGCGGTCATTTAATGTCAGAGGAACGTAAAAGCAAGGTAGCTCTAGGCCAGGGTGTTTATGGCCAGTATTCAACGACTGAAATAAGGTGATCATTTCATTGTTCCATTTTAGGGCCGCTGTAGTAGCTGCGCGTTGAGTCTCCCGCTCCACTGGTTGTGAAAACATCTGGATTCGCTTGAGGCTTTGTTGAAAATCACGACTAAACTGTGGCCATGACCGGCGAATTGGAAGCACTGTAGAGGAACACCCTTTAGCTCCAGCGCAAGTGACAAGGTCGATGCAAGGAGGTACTTACAATGCTGACGCCGCACGCGAATGAAGCTGATAGCACGTGCACAAAACAACACCAGCTCAGTATACAGGTCAACCATGGCAGTCTCCAACCTTTCATCCACAATGATGTTATTCTCAGAGGGATAGATCCTTGGCAGTGCCACAATCAAGTCTTCGAGCATAACCTGGACCTCGCTAAAGATCTCTTCCAAAGGTGCCAATAGCTGCAATGATACTTCCTTAGAAGCGTGCGACAGTGTCGGGGCAATAAAACTTACTGAGAGCAGAAGGCAGATTCCACCCCATAGTAGAGCGCCGGTTTTGCCGTCAAGGGCAAACGATAGAACCAGCACAGTCATGAAGTCATTCAAGTATACTAGGCTTGGACGAAATCGGGATAGACTTGCCAGCAGACAGTTTTCGTTTCGGTGGGCCTTCGCCACGCTCTTGAGTTGTGACAAAAGGATGTCGAGGGAGAAGGTCTCCATGCATATCTCTAGGTCACTCTCGTCATGCAAGCTTTCCTTGAATCGTTGCCGTACAAGACTCCAGACCCCTGGTCGTGGGACTGGATTGAGGGAAGAGGCTCCCATTTTGAACCTGATACACAGAATAGCCCGTTAAGAAACTGAGAAAATCTAAATGAAAATACAAACATTTCAGTTTCCAAAAATCTGACCTGATCATTGCTTTGTGACATGAAGGGGTATCTGGAATTAATACCTTTTCTTTCATCGTTTTTCTTTTCTTTTTCTCCCCACAGGTCTTGGAATCCATTCAACTTTGGTGTAGCAACAGCCTTCCAATGCGAATAAAAGGGTATTACGTATACAATACCAGCTGATACACTGTCATACAGCATGTATAGAGGCCTATATACGATGCCAACATCCGCTCGCTCTTAACTCCCTCGCGGGTGCTAGAGTATCGAATGCCATAGCATAAAGTCCAGGCTCTTTCTTACAGTAGCAGTGCCTGTATTCCAGCAGCTCTTGTAACCTTGCTAGAAAACCAGCCATAAATATCATTGAACATCCTGCCAAGGCTGAATTAGCCACCACAGACCTCAAGACTCCCAGCACAGATCGTCTCCCAGTCTAGCTACTAACAATTAACCCTTCTTTTGATGGGCTAGGTATGAGAAAACGGCTTTACGTTCATCACATGAGTAGATGATGGACTTAATTCAAATAAATACCTTGGATTGGATTCCGACGTAAACTCATCGCCCTCCTCAGTAAATGGAAGAATACGAAGCGGATTTAAGGATCATAAACTTCCTATAACCATCACTGATAGAATCGATGATGACCACCCTACAACTCTGGATTGTCAGTCTTGCATTGGCTGCGGAGGAACAAAGAAGTTGAGCTCCAAACCACAATTCAGAGGGCTTCTTGTCACGCTACTCGACGACATACCTTTGTGCTGGGGGCTCCTTGTTCACTCAAAGGCGTTGTTGTACTTATCGCTAGCTTTAGTAGGGCTAGTTCCGCACACGGAGCTTTTCTTCTCCTTTTCGATAGAATGAGGCATGTGGGTGCATGGCCCCGAATATGCAATAGCAGGCAGCATACCACCTCCACCAACCGAGGCGAATCCAGGGCCTCCACACGCACCTGAGCCCCCTCCGCCCGAGTCTTGTGGATTCATATTGGTAGAAAGATTACCCAAGCGACAGCAACAGGCTGCTGCAGTGCCCCTTGGTGACAGTCAGCATAACGCTCTGTAGCTAGTGCTAAACCACATACCTCGTATAAATTAGGATTACAGGGATCTGCGTGGCTGTGTTAGATTATTTCTTGATATCGAGGTCCGAACCAAATGACTGAATAATTGAGATCCGCGGTCCGGCTTATGGCGTATTTATAATTCCCAGAGACAGAGCCAGCAGTCTTCCTCAATCACAGGATGAAACCCTCATCGGGCACTACGGAAAACAATCACTACCAGACTGAAGCATACAAACAGTTATGTGCAGGGGGCATCTAGTGTCCCATAGGTAATTGCCTCTTGTCTAAGATAGATATGACGCATATACAAAGCGACTAGAGAGTTCAAAAAGCCGATACAATCCAGTCTAGCGGTGAGCCGAAGAAATGCTCTGCTTGAGTTCATTGTCCCTGTTGAACCTCGGCTACTTCCAACTATCTTTCATTGTCTTACGACGCGGGTTAGTGCTCACGGACCCCCATCATTAAGACACAATGAATATGGTCAGAAAGTTGTCGCGATAAAGCCCACGTCATTTATTGGACCTCCCCCTGTAAGACGTCATGAAACTTGCGATACAATCGATTTCCAGTACTGTATGTATTCATACATATATCCATCTCCGAGCTAATCGCCAGGAAGTGCCGACCATGTAGTACATAGGTTGCACAGGCGCGGGCTGCACTCAAACAATGACAGAAGTTACTACGTTGATTTGTGGAGGATGCTTCCGTCCACTCTTGCGGAGCATTGCTTGCCCTCATGAATGCGAAAGTTGTCATATGATGCTTGCAATAAGCGTGTCTGGGAGCCTTACTAAGTCCACTATAATCTACTCACACAGGAAAGGTAGAACCTCAGGATTCTAGCGGAGGCCAATATCATAACATATGCTAATTTCCTATCTTCTGGAGTGCCTCGTTCGATTAAAATTTATCAGTATATGAACATTGACTTGGGATACTAGTTGCGTAATGAGGCTATCTAGATATTCATTGTCTAGTATCTCTTCCTTCTAGAACTGCAAGTCCTACGCAGCCAGCGTTTCATATAACAAAGACTTCATTGATTCCCAGCACGGCACAAATGGCCTGTAGTAGACCTTCAGTCCAATGGGGCTAAATCCAGCGTGCGCTCAGCTGATCCCTCAACAGAAAGACAGGTATTATTGGTAAACAATGATGCGCTTCGTGTCTGGTCTAATCAGAAGCTCTCCATTTATTTCCAGCAAGCTTTCATTGGGAGTTGCTTATTTTGCCCGGAAGACTCGGGCAGACGTTCTGCCTGCGCCTAGGGCTTTCAGTCGAGTATGATGCAATCACTGGTCTTCGCAGTGGATGGACCTACTCTACACACCACACCTCGTCTGAAACGATGGTGATGATCATATCCATAGCATCCATAGCTCTTTATGCAGTTAAATATCCTATAGTTAGAACTGACAGCCATATGTCGAACATTGAAGGGCTGATCTGGTCAATTCAGAAGCAAGCCCGAACGGGATGGAATTGCGTCAGGTCCTTGAACGACTGGAAGAGGCCCACGCACAGATAGAACGCGTTCGTGAAATCTGCGGGGCCTCATCTATATCATGTGGAGTCCTTCATTACGGTGATATCATCTATACGAAAAGCGTCGGACTGAGAGACCAAGTGCAGCACCTGCCGGCAGATTCACAGACTATTTATCCCCTGGCCTCGGTATCAAAGGGCTTCTTAGCCGCTGCCGTGGGAATCCTGGTGGATAAAGGTAAGCTTGATTGGCATGTCCCTATCAGCACATATCTACCGCAGTTTGATCCCGTTAATGATCGAGATTTGGGAGAATATGCCAATATTATTGATCTACTAAGTCACGCTACCGGGCTAGCACAGCATGACCTCCTCCATATTGGGCCATTTGGGTCAATAATCAGTGACTCGTCTAAGCTAGTTCATTTACTTAATGCATTGCCAACATCCAATAGCCATGGTTCAAGGTTTCGCCGGTGGTGGCTTTACAACAATCATGTCTCAGCACTGGCGAGCCAAGTGCTTGAGAGCGTCTCGGATGGAACGTGCTACCCTGAGTTACTAGAGCAACGTATCCTACGTCCTTTACGCATGTTCCGGACTTTTGTCTCCATGAACAAATTCAACTCGGATTCAAATATAGCCTTACCCTATGCTCGCCTATCAAATAGCTCCTTCGCGAAACTCCCGTTCCCCGAATACCTTCAAGAGAAAACCCACATTCTTGCAAGTCAGGGGGTTACCAGCTGTGTCCAAGACCTATTAATTTGGGTCAAAGCGACATTAGAACGTGAATCGTGGGAGCAGCTCCATGCTAAAGAGAAGCTTGAGCGGCCGGTTCCCCCAAATAACCCACTGCGACAAATAACAACCATCCGCCATGGTCACTATCCACATCCTTTCGACGATGCTCCAGGTTACCCGAGCTATTACTGCCTAGGCTGGTTGAGTCTTACTCTCCCATCCTCAAACCTCGGCATGATTAGCTTCAATAAAGAGACGCGCCGCTCAGGCGACCATCTTGATTATGTACTAGGCAAGGATTCACCACCTCTCAAAGTCATACTACACAATGGAAAAGCTCCTGGCTACAATTCCGCCGTATACACTTTTCCCGAGACATCTAGTGCAATTATTGTTCTTGCCAGTGGAGCTACTGATGGTGATCCTGCTGACTGGAGTGCGCGGATCCTGACATAGGAACTATTCGACCTCCAACCTCGCGTGGATATAGTAGACCTGGCTGAAAAGGAAGCCGTACTTAGTTGGCGATGGTTCGATGATTACATCCTGCGTCCATTGCGGGAAGATTTACAAAAGAGTGAAGGAGATAGTGGCGCTAGTGACAGCCATCTACCCAATCTTAGAACATATGAAGGTCATTATCGGAACGCTCATCTCCTGACTACCCTCAATGTTCGCTTCAACGAATCGAGGTCTGATCTTGCTGTGTCTTTCAACCATCGAACCGATAAAGAGTATCTATTAAGGCTCCATAAAGAGCACGAATTCAGCTTCCTTCCCCTTGACCGTGATTCTTGGCTACGCGACTGCATGTTGGAGGTATTCGACTACCGAACGGGGATATTGAAGTTTACGCGTACAGGGGACGGTGATGTTTCTGGGCTATGGTGGAAGTGGAGCGCTTGGGAGGAGGCATCTCTCTTCACGAAGCAGACTCATACGTAACATGATATAGCTGGCTGTTGGCATTGCATGTTTTTCTGTGATTTGCAATAGTATTTGGTCGGACTAACAGGCCCTTGTAGCCCTAAGGAATACTATACAATACTTGCATGATTTGAAGAACAGTCTGAACAAATGAGAGAAACAACCCGACCCCTCCAATGAGTACAACAGCCCAGAACGTATACCATGCTTCTGTACTTCGTTTGTCCCGCCATAACTGTATCAGGCCCCGCGCCTTCTGGCATGCCAGGTGTGCTTGAAGGGCTTTCAATCGGTCGTGGAGGATTGGAAAGTCAGAAACAAGACTAAAAATATCTTCATGGTGGTCAATGGATACTGTTGTCAGGGTGCGAGAGCCGCATAGTTCCCCGAGTAGGGGATCATGTTGGTCAGGCGGAAGGTCACTGAATGGGCGTAGTGATCGGTAGAATTGTCGTCCCTTTGCTGAAAGTCCGAAAAGCAGGCGATATGACAGCAGGACCTCGTATAGAAAACTTGTCACATCTTCAGTGGTAGCCCAGTTGGTAGGATCGTCAGCTGGGGCGGTACAACTTCAGAACCAATGAATCGTAAGCCATTTGACAGCTGAAGCAAGGTGTGTGAGGCTACTAAATACATACCCATGTATGACTCCTCGTACCCATTTCTCGCCCGATAAGTCTTTCTCGAGATTTGCAGCGCAGAAAGAAGGGAACCGAAAGAGGAACAAGGTTTTGGTGCGGTTATCAAACTCTAGATGCGCGCCCAGTGTGTCAATCCACCTAATCTTTATCCCGCCAATGGTGGCAAGAAGAGACATATTGAATTGCTTGGCATGGACTGTCGCGAAGCTCTCGGGACTATGACGATCTGTGCTTCTTGTTGGCAGTAGGTACCCGAAGCCAAGAAGGAACTCATGCATGGGGAGCCGAGCGCATCGATGATCTTGAGTATACGCCATGAAAGTTCGGCTTTCGTACCCATCCATCAGTTGTGCAACTGTCATCTGCGTCGGATTGGCTGCGTCCCAGGTTGGCTCCCATAACATTGTCTGCCATCCTAAAATAGTGAAAACAAGCACACGCTGAAAACAAGTCTGTTCCACAGGCACCACACGGAATATATGGGACAACTGCAATTGTGTCACAATATCATCAACTCTTAAAGCTTTACCCTCTTTCATCATTCGTGCAATTCCAAGATAAACTCTGAGCAAACTGGACCCTTCTATTAACCCGTTCGTCTCCGCCAAAGTTGGGAAAGCCGTCGAAAGATCCAGTGACAGTAGCGAGGCCCGTCGATTTAGCCATGACCTGTACCACAGCATGCTCGGATTAATTCGTGTTGTCGATTGGCAGCAGGCGGGAAACACAGTAATGACAGATGAATGTGCGGTCGAATCTAATAGGTCGTTATCTACAATACGTGTTACCTTGCGTTCATTTGTCTCTTGCACCTCTCTCACCTCTACCTGGTGGGATAATTCGATGAGGTCGAATCGTTCCTCTAAACCTTTTCACAGCGCTCCTGTTTCTCTTTTCTTTCCAGGAAACCATCATAATGGAATTGTATAGGATACTGAGGTCAACATAGACTGTGCTTCAGCTGAGACATACAGCGAGGATGTGGGCCTTATGGACGATGTACCCTGGATCCAAAACTTCACATAATCGCCTTGTGAGGGCTGCGGCTGCGCCACGCTACGTGGAAAGCGTAAGGCGATCATAGTCGTGGAGGGCGAATCAATCACCATGGTCGCAATAGGGTGCTTGATCAAGACTGCCCAACTATCGCTCGAAAACTGATGGGAACTCGAGGTTGGGCTATCGAAACATAATAGGCATCAGATACGGCCTTATCTCCTGGTCATCGTTCTCATCATTCACCTGATCGTGTTGCCCTATAACGGCCGGTTGTATACGCTGGTAAGCGGGGGTGGCAGAACGTCGTTCATTGGTGTCAAAGCCATACGCCTTGGAATTTCCTCTGATACCCAACGCTTTTGGCGTACATATTTACTAAGTTAAGATTAGGATAATTTAGTACTCACGAATCCTCAGGCCCGTCAACCCAGACGATGACATCATCAGTTAACCGGCATTCACACATGTCTTGCCTTGAATCAGTGTCGGCCCTAACACGCCTCATCTTTAGACCACTCCCATTCTGTGAGATGATCATCTGACCTGCCGAGAATGCAAATGAAGACGCTGCCTAACCAAGGGTTTAAAAACTGCCTTGTTATTGAGCTGCGCCCGGCCATGAGCAAGCTTTCTTGTAGTGTCTATTTTCTTAGACTGTCGCTCCATATTGACGGACTAGTCCAGGAGGATTTTCGACTAGCTTATGTATCATGCAGACGTAGACCACTGCTGCATCTGATTATCGCTCGAAGAGCTTTTGAAGGGCGACTCATCGCGGATATGCTATATGACTGTCATTTTAGCAAACACACCCATGAATAGAGTTGAGAGATTAGCTTACATCTTATCTGTGCCCCTAACTGCAGCTCTGGCTATTGTTATCAAAGGAAATCAAGCTAGAACTACTCTACGAACCCAAAGCAGCCCTCGGTATGAAGTTTACTGTTATTCATATCAGCGAAGGAAACCCTGGTTTGAACGGAGACTTCAGGGCAGAGGTCCCATGTGCCATTATGGTGGATATGCAACAGTCGATTTTTATTTAGTAGGATATCTCTCTCTTATGCGGACAGATATGAGGGCAGAGGATTTGTGTTTATTTCCAGGCCTTGTCTTGACTCAAGCAACAAAGGAGACAACAAAGAACCAGGAACAGGGGCAGTAACCGATATCGGTGTAATTATGAAAAGACTCTACAAAACCATGAATGACCGTGCGCTGTTCTTTGTTCCCTCCAAATATCCTCTCGTCCAGCATGAATGGTCATTAAACACGGTGCTGGTAACAGCTCTCGAGGATTTAGCTTTCCTATCTATGTAGCTCTAGACATCCTCCCACTACCATACCTCAGCCCCGTTAGCATCAGGGGAAACAGACCAAAAGCAAGATAGCAAGATAAATTGAACAAGAAGACTTTGTAGGTAAACTAAATACAGCGATTTCTTCGTCAACAGTCTTTTTCCACCCCTAAGCGAACAGCCATTCTATCGAAAGAGTCTCCGGAAGCGAGTCTGGACAAATGGACCAAGCGACTCGCCTCTACTAGAGCGGCCACTATAACTGTAGAGAGCTATAAAGCCGGCACACACACTAAACAAACCATATTTGAGAGAAGCCGATGCTTCAAGGCAATTCAAGTATTGCCATGTTCGAGCCTTAGCATGCCTCTATGTCAAGCATGCTCTCGTCATCGTCATCGTCACCGTCATCCTTGGGACACTCAAAGTCGCCACCAGGACTCCCATACAAAATATTAGGGTCTCCCAGGACGTTCTTGACACGCCGCTCGAGTTCGTCAGCCAGAAGGTTCCTCTGTACCGCCAGTTGATCCAGGTCTCGTAAACGCCGGATCATGTCCACCACTCCATTAAGCTTCAAGCAAGTCTCCTTAAGCCCCAGTGTCGGGGAAAGAAGTCGGTTAATCAGGGACTGGTATCTTTCATTACTCATCGACGTGAAATCAAGGTCAGGAATTTCCTCTCCGTCATCGGTAACAGCAGATCCGCCCCTAATTAGAAAGACCTCGGGGACGCCAATTTCGTCATAAAGCTTTTTCCATCTCAACGCGCAGGAGATACTCTTGTCAAACCCCTCAATCAATTTGTCTCTTTTCCACTCGTTGGCTCGCATATCAATACCTTCATTTGGTATCCCGAGGTCGAACATCACTTTCCGAAAGATAAAGGCTCTGACAGCCTCCTCGCTCATCCCTCTTGAATATCCATCTTCGACCAACGTCGTATACTCCAGGCTCAGCTCAGCCATAGCATTGCGAGACTGTAGAGTGTAGTAGACAGTGTTGGCTTTTGAAGTCTCAAGCTCTATAAACAAATCGGCTAGGTCGAACGTGGTCTGACATAATGAGGAAAGACCGAAATACTTCCAGTGGGCTTCCATCAGTGTAGCAAAATAACGTGCACACTTTGGGTTTGGAGAGGGCACCATGGCCGCCTTCTCCGATGAAGCTCCTTTGGGCTGCTGAATCTCATGCATCGCCAGTTGAAGCCCTGGTTGATCTTGTCCTTGCGTGTCTGGCCGTGGCTGTCTTGAAACAATGTTTTGATGCAATTGCTTTTCTCGGCTGGCAGTCATGCTAGCGGAGTAATTGTAATGGCACTTGGCACAATGGTCACACTGCTGATATAGCCATGAGCGGCCAGGGAGAACGCACTGAGGTAACTATTGTCAGTATCCGCCAACAACCAAATGTAAGGAAAGTGTAACAGTAGTTAAATGCACAAATCCCTATACCTTGTTCGTGTCATTTCGACACCAAGAGCATTTCAGGTATTGCAATCGTTTGGAGATAGCGAGACTAGATGCGATCTCCATCCCAACAGTAAATGAAAGCCAGAATACTGCACAACAGAGAGGATTTATAGAAGAATTAGACAGATATAGCGAGTAGGAAGCATAGTGAACGGATCCAGAATAATTTGGATGCCGCAGTCTCTTCGTCCTTCTTATAGGTTTTACCTTTTAGTCACTGATCAAGATGTTCGCCGATCACTACTCATCCTTGCCCATCCTTGCCCATCCTTGCCCATCCTTGCCCATTTATCCTCCTACCCGTCAGAATCCAATAAAATCCAACGAAACCCACGAAATCACGCGAAATCCTGCGAAATCCCGCGAAATCTAACAAAATCCAACAAAATCCAATATAATCCAATGATATCCATCCATATTTATCTTACCCCCATCAGTAACCGATCAACACAGTCTATATTGCTCCTATCACTCCCTAGTGCTCCATCCAGTAACCAAACACTCCAATTATCACTACTACACCCAGTAAGAATTCAGATGCAGTCAGCACGAGAGCTTCCGACTTGGCAAAACCCGGAGCATTTGACTGAGGGCATATCACCCGTTAACATATTCGTTGAACAAGGATGAATCGCAGGGAGGTTACTCTTATTTACCGCACATCAACTTGGATCACCATTTGTCTCTTACGTTCTAGCCGCTTAATATAGAAGATAAGTATGATATGAGCCTCCCGATAACATGGAAGAACTTTAAACAATAGCGTCTTCTTATACATCATTTCCTGGGCCTCGGCCACGGTGAATGGCACCAGTTTCTGGAGATCCATCGGCTTGGCAACTAAGGAAAGGAGCTGCCTTGCGATCTACTAGTACTTATTCTTATTTCGAGGTGTTAATTACAAGGTGTTAAGTATAGTCTGGGCTCCCAACAGCGTAGAAGGGACAGGTCACGGTAACTATCTAGTTTGTACAAGATACAGTATATACAGCCTTCCGCGTCCTGGATGTTTATATTACAGTAAAAAGTAGGAAGCTCTGTATACCACACAGGAACTTGGACTGGAACCAATCAGACGTATCAATACAATCTTTGAATCAGACAAGCCTTTTGATAACTCAGGGTATAAATAACAGAGAATTGCACCACCTTCAGGCAATTACTGATAGGTAACCTTCAACTCCGCATCACTAACAATAGTCGGAACAGCCTGAACAGTATTGCTCGAGCTATCTTGAACCGCATACAGAGCCGATCCGTCAAGGCCATACTCCTTACCATCTGCCTTAGCAACGCATCCAGTAAAGATAGCCTCACCAAAATCCACAAACGTCAATCCATCACCGTCAACCGCCAAATCCTCCAGGATCCACTCGGCGTTCTGACCAGTCAAAGTCGCAGTCGCCGCCGGAGCAGAGGCAGTAACCGTAACATTCTTGCCGGTAGTTAAGTTCTCGATAACAGCCACACCCTCACTGTTCGAAGTCGACTCAACACTGGTGAAGACCACGTCCCCGAAGTTGAACTCGAGGTCAATATCCACCGAGTTGGCCGGGTACCACTCGTACCAGCCTGCGAAGGAGGGCTGACCGTTTTGCACGTAGATGTCGACGCCGGCTTGCCAGATAGCGTCACCGGAGGTGGCGCCGTCAATGCCGACCCAGAAGGACGCGGCTTGCGTTTCGGAGGATGAGGCGGCTGTTGGCGTCACCGAGGGGAGGGTGAAGGTCGCTGCGACGTAGCTGTAGGTCGCGCTGGCTGCGGGAGCTGTTTCCTGCACTGCTCCCGCCCAGTTCTCGTTGATTCTGTAGTTGTCTTCGGATTGGGCCTGGCTGTGAGCGATGACCTTGGATTTGGCTTGGGGAGCGGCCGTGATTTGGGCGCTGGGCTGCTCGGCTTGCGCCTCGGAGAGACTGTCAATGTCGATTTCGCCTAGCCAGCCTGGGCCCTGGAAGCGCCGAGCTCTAAGGCCTTGGCCGTGGGGGCCGGCAAGGGCAGTGCCGGTCAAGAAGGCTGTCAAAGCCAGAGAAGAAGGGAATTTCATTGTGGTATAAAAAAAATAGTATAACAACTATGTATGTAGAAGTGAAAGGATTAAAAAGATCCCGCCAGTCAATGAGCGAATGAATGAACGAATGTATGGTCCCGGCGAAAGATTCCAGATCTTCAGCGATGGATTGGAGAAATAAAGTAACAGGGAGCAATTTGCTTTTAAAGCATCGGCTTTTAGGCTATGTTTAAGCCATGGAGAAAGGCGCGAAGGCTTCCGTTTCATATTGATTGACCCAAGTCCCGTTAGTCGTCTGGTTCAAACAGCAGCGTTGAGTGCAAAACCCGATTGATCCAACAGCCCCTATTATTATATTGGACTTTTTGATTAATGCACGGAGTATATCCGGTAGTCAACTTCCGTTGGCCAACCATGGTCTGAGTAAAAGATTGGTGGGAAATGCTTGCAGGTGCTTAACAGACAGTAAGTATGCCAGACCCACCGTCGGTAGATGGACTACAATTAGGGCTTGGGAGTAAGATTACATGTCCCACTCTGAAACAACCGGCTCTCCTAACCCTATCCGGGAAGGTTTTCGATTTATCTACGAAACTCGCATGTTCACCTGGTTCATGAATTCTAGGTATAATAAACTACTCTTGATCTGATCGCTGGTAGTGGGGTGCTTGACAGTCGATAACCTCCAGGGCTGGGATAGCCAAGAAGCCCGTAGGCCGTGTTCTTGTACATAGCCTATTACTAGACTCTCCCGGTGTATAGCTTCCATCGTATATCATCTGTCGTCTTGCGAAGTGATACACTGTGCTTTGGTACTACTCATCGGATGTCTAGAAGCAGTTTGATTCTAGGTTTATTGGACAGACACCTGTGGATGGTTGAGTGTTGTTTGTGCATAGTCGTGGCATGGTAGCAAGTAATCTTAGGGAGATTCTGTAGCTGGAGCTCGGGCTGCGCCAGCCCTAGTTTTGCGCCTTGCTCTGTCATCGACAATATTGGTTGCCTTGGTAGGACAGGCTAGTCAGTACTATACCTGTTGGTTGTATTCGTTTGCATGTCATCAATCTGTCTTTGTTAACTTGGGCATGGCAGGGGTTGCTTCTAGTTCTTTGATAGCATAATATTCATGTAAAATAGTCATTGGAAAGTGTCATATCCAATATCTGTACCATTGCTAGGGTATCAAACAAAAAAACCACAAATACAACATCAACATGACCACCATTTTAATAAATCTCAATCACTATCCTCATCCTCTTCTTCCTCCTCCTCCTCCTCCTCCTCCTCCTCCTCCTCCTCCTCCTCTTCTTCTTCTTCCTCCGTTCTCCTCCGTCTCTGCGACTGTCTTCGCTGCGTTCCCTCCCCCTCCACATCCCCATTTCGCTCCTCCCCTTCCTCCTCCTCGCGCGGTTCAGGCTGCTTGAGACCCAAACTCCTCGCCAACCTCCCCTCAAAATCCTCCCTCTGCTCCGCCGTCATATTCCCACTCCCAAAAACCTCCCTCACCAAGCCGGCCACGCCCACACTCCCAACCTCCATCTTCCCCCTCTGTCCCACCATATACTCAATAACCTCCTCGCCGCCATCCATCTCCCGCAGGCGAACCAGATACCCGTCTCGAACCAGCCGCTGCAGTAACCGATCCGTCCGATCAATCGGCGTATACGTATCGGCGTTCGTCCGCGCCAAATACCGCTCCAGCTTCTGCTCCGGTAATGATCCCCCGTTTAGCAAGATCACCGCGATAATAAACGAATATAATCCGGTATAGGTACTCTCCCACGGGGCCTTCGTCGGTGGTAGAATCTCAGGACGTCGGTACGCGGCGGGTAATGTACTCCCCACGATCCAGGATTTGTTTGATGAGGGTTTTTCGACTTTTTGGGCCGCTAGAATTATCCATTCCTGTTAGCACGCATTCACACTCCACAATCCACTCCACCAACTAAACATAACCATAACTAATCCTTCCCCCTACCAAAGAAAAATATGGAAGATAAAAGAACTCACCCCGCCGATCATGAATCGTAACCCGCTCCCTCACCGGCAACTCCACCATCTGCATACCAAATTTCTCCCTCAAAACCTTCTGCGCCGCCTCAAACACCACCTTGAACTGTCTTGTGCCCTGTTCGCCCAGCACCTTCACCCCGATCTCCGCCCTGCGAATCGGCAGCCGCGCATACTCGCAGGCCAGGGCCAGTCGGACCATCTTCTTCACCATCACGTCTGTACTGCTCGGGTGGTGGGTTGCATCGTCGTCGCTGTCGGAGGCGGACGCTTGGGTTTGGTTTGTTGTGCGACGGCGTTGAGGGGTTGGTCCTTGGTCTTGTTCTGCTTCGGAGCCTGCGGATGATTCTGGTTCGGAGGAGTTTGAGGGGTGCGAAGGAGGAGGGTCCTTTGGGGTTTGGTTTGTTAGTTTGGTTTGGTTTTGTTCTTTTGATGGGGAGGGCCGGGCTTACGGCGCGGCGTTTGCGGATGAGGGGCATTGTTTTTTTGTGTGTTTTGTATTCTTTTCTGGTGGGATAAAATGGGTGGAATGGAGGTCGAGTCGATTTGAGTCGTTATCGAGTTATCCGATATTGATACTGATTAATTTAGTGACGCGACGCGAGGGGATATGGCGCTAGGCTTATCTGGGATGCGCCGTGATTGATTGAAGAGCTCGATTGGGCAGTCACATGTTCGATCACATGTGATCTGCGAGAATCAGTTGATTGAAGGTTTTCTTTACGACTGTTGCACCAGTGTTGGTGTTGTTTTTTTTTTCTTGTTTTAGTATTGTTTTGTTTTGGTTTGTTTTCTTTTTATTGTTTTCGATTCAGGGATACTAAATGGTCTTGCTTTGTTTTGTTTGTTTTAGTGCCGTGGTTACGATTTGGTTCGAGGTGAGATGCAATTGGGTATTGATATCATCAGAAGTTGGGTAGTGTATCAAAAGAACCGGTGGCCATGAGACATGACCCCGGCGTTCTGGAATGGAAAATGAATCAATCCAGTAGCTGCGCAGAAAAGAAAAGAACAAAACACCCTTCTAGAAACAGCAATTAAACATAAAAGCCTGCTGGACAAAGAACCCTCCGTAGAAAATTACACACCATCCATCTCTAGTTGTTGGCCTGGTTGGTCTTATCGTTGACCACATCCTTTACTTGCTCTTTCTTGGCCTGCAGCAAGGAGCTGAGGAAGCCCAGGGACTCCTGCGACAGGACCAGGCTGGTCGTGATCAGCGCCTTGCCGCTGGCCACCACGCCGTCGCCGCCGCACTTCTTATACTCGGATCCGTAGGTGTCAAAGACATGGGTCTTGACATCGCCCACGACTCGCACCGGGTAGGTGGCGTTGTCGTAGATGGTGTTCCGGAGCTTATCGGTGTCCTCCTTGATGAACGGGAATCGCGAGTCGATCTGAGACAGTCCTTGGTCGCCGAGAGAGTCTGCGCGGGCCAGGTAGGGTGCGATGTAGCCGTAGGGTTTGGAGAAGTAGGGCAGGACGGGCTTGGCGATGCGGTCATAACTCTGGTCGGCGTACTGTATCGACTTGGCGCCGTACTTGTTGCTCTTGAAGACGGTGATGGAGTCGGAGACGACGGGGTAGGATGTGAGGTGCTGTATGAAGGGTGAGGGAGAGTCCAGAATCAATCACGATGGAGACATGGCTTACGTCGAGGAAGTGCGAGTGGACCTTCTCGCCGTTGACAGCGTTTTCACCCATCTTCTTTGGCTCTGCGTGAGGCATCGGTTGCTATAAAGGGTGGACGGTTAGTATCTGGGGTGGAACTGGACGGGGATCGGCGAGGTGCATTGCATCGCATACCTGAGGAAGGAGGAGGGAGGAATGTGTACGCCACGAACTATCGGAGAATAAGAAAGGTCAAATGCCACTGGTAGGAGGGCAGAGGTGATAGAAAGCAAAGCTGAGTGGGGGGAAGAGAAGAAAGTAGGGAGGGTCAAGATAAGTCAGTCCGTTGGAGGAAAGGGCCAGGGAAAGAAGGATATTTATTTAGCCTTCGAGGTATCAAACAATCACATCAGATAGAATTTGCTATTCAGAATCGACGATAATAAAAAAAGTAAGAAGAAGTCGAAAAGCATGTGATAGCGGATCCGTAAATGGACTGAACGCAAGCGGAGGGGCAAAAAAAAATAAAATAAAATAAAATCAATTCGAATAAAACAAATCGTGTTACACTACGGCTACAGGCCCGACTCTTCATTGGCATCGCATCGGCCTAGAATATCGTCCAGAGATAGTCCAGCATCGTTCTTATTTGTTCGCACGGTCGGCCCGATCGTCCTCTGGTTGCAAGTTCGCACCAGGGCCATGACACGAATTGAGTCGTGGAATATCTTGCAATCTGGGTTGCCGGAGGGTCAACCAGACATGGGTAACCGGACTGGTTTCCTTGGAATGGAGAGATAAGGTGAAATCGCAAATCGAATGATCTTTGGACCGTCCTGTCAAATTGCGTTATCGTCGTGGCGCGCGAGAAGATTTGATGGACGTTGAATCCGGAAACACAAATGATGTTCGAGTGTGAATTTAGTGGGCGGTGGGCTGACGGCATGTGATTGCGGGTCACACTTTTCCTGTCTCTCTGACAGTACTGGACTGACTGACGCTTTCCTGACAGTATCCTCGTCCTAGAAGATCGTTTATTATTATCGACGCCTCAATGATGATCCTCTAAACTTATTCAGAGAAAGGTTATTTTAATTTCTCGATAGATATATTTTTCTAAAAAAAAAAAAAAAAAAATATCATAAACAAAAAATATATTTTCCATGGAAATAAAATAAAACATGGTGTACAAAACCCTCCCCAAGATGGATAAAATACATGAATCATGCATGACTAAACACCAAGTCTCTTATGAAGCGACACCTCCTCTCTCGAACAACGCCTTGGCCTTCATTCAAACGCTGAGACGTTTCCTTCTCTTCATTTCCCCTTTTGCGTTGGATCCGCCCCGTTGGCCTGAGCGCCGTCTGTCTAGCCAACAATCGCTCTTCTTGGCCCCCCCCCGTCTCTCTGGCAAGCACCAGGTTCCCAAATTTTCAAATCGATACATCCTAACATGACCCCCCCGACACTCGACCAGCATCGGATTCTCTAGCGCCAACCCCGTGCATCGTACTTTTGCGTCTATTTTCATCCTGTTTCCCATATGATCGGAGCGACGAGGTTGCATTTGATGTTTGTAGGAAGCGGTTGGGTCTCACTGGTGATATACTAATTGTACTAGTAAGCTAAGGGACCTAGGTACCTGTGGCTGGCAGACCCTGGATCTCATCATGTGTAATTCATTTCCTCAGGAGTCTCTATAAGCACATGATAGTAATATAGGCTGGTCTGGTTCTGTCCATGGCTTGTGAAAGGAATATGTGCTTCCGGGTGCATATGGTGGTATAGACTGGGTTATGCATGGCATTATATATTTCTGACATTTTTACCTGCCATTCGACGATTAACTCCACCAACAATATACTGCGTCCAAAGCCTGTTACAACATTTATTATGCCCTGGCACATATTCTAGACCGTTACAAAGAAAAGCAAAAAAAATAATATAAAATAAATAGAATAACAATAAAAATCACGCAACAGAAAAAACTCCTAGATCCAGCCCTGGAGAAAACACCAATCCCCAATCCACAAGCACGAGCACAGACAGGCACCATCCGCGTCTCTTCCTACCGCAGCGGAGCCCTCCCGCAAGAGGGAACGTAGACGCCGCTCGCAATTATCAACCAGAGAACTCTACGAGTGACTATAGTTCGATCGCTCAATACGAGCTTTCGCTAACCCATACTAAGGTACCCTACCGCATGTCGCACGGCCATTCGGTAGAACAACTAGCCGCCCTATGTTGGGTCTCTGCATGCATGGACCGGTCCAGTCCGTCTACGATGACGGCCGTTCCACTCCCGTCCGGAGTAGAGCGGCTACGGCGATGAGGTGGCCTTGGATGTTGACGTTTTCCTGATCGCTGTGGTGTTCCCCGCTTCGTCGGATTGCTGCTACCGTCCTTCCGGTTTGCTTGATTGCGGAGATACGTAAGATGCGGGGATCTCTGATGCGCTAAGAGGACGGTGCAGTGGTCTCTCTGCGCTGGCACGTGGGGTCTTCGGGGGGTTTGACTTGATGGTTCGTGAGGGAAAGGAAACAAGATATAGTGATATATATCTCTCTCTCCATGGGTTGTGGGTTTGGGGGGGAAAATGATCCAGAGGATGGTCCAGAGTCAAATTGGTAAAAAAATATCAAAAAAAAAAAAATAAAAACTTTGAGACTTAAGTGTTGCGGGAGTCCAAGCCACGGCTAAGAGTCCGGGAATCTGTAGTAGTCACATCGTAGCCATCTCAGACAAAGGAAGATTTTGAATTTGTTCATATTTCCATTTCATTGCGAGGACGCCAGATCTCGGTGGCCTCCTTCATTATCAAATAAGAAAAATGGCCAAGTCCTGGACTTGTACATCGATACATTCCCCCATGCGTCCGCCAGCTATGGTATCCGTCCTCTTGTGTCATGAACCGAATGTGCTCGATGCCCTTTTTTTTCTTGCCTCATCTAAGACCTTGCGCGCTCAAACGACATAACGCCCAAAAAAACCCCGTTTAGAAACCTGTCTTGGGTTAGTATACGCCCATGGATGAGGAACAATAAAAAAAAAAAAAACGTACGAAGAGGAGTGAAGAACCAACGGTTCTTGCCGCTGGTGTAGCGGTCCTCAAGGGCCTTCTTGACGGTCTTCTTGGCGTCCTCACGCTGGGAGACCTCCTTGAAGGTGTCGTTGGTGACGGAGCCCTTGAGACCCTCGAGCTCGAGGGTGTAACGGGTGGGCATCAAGTGGTTGTAGTTGACAACCTTGATGAAAGGCTTGATGCGGCTGCGCTTCTCGACGGTCTTCTTACCCATGCGGCGGGTGACCTTCAGGGGGTAACGCTCGATACCGGCAACGACGGCATAGGCGAAGGGGTGCGCCTTGGAGCCAGTGTCGTTAGGCTGGACAATGACGACCTATACCAGCGGTCCTGTCAGTTTCATCCCTTCACACGTCTCATTCCATGAAAACCGTAACACGCAATTCTTCCGCCCATCTAACTCTCGCTGGATGTCGTTGAATGTATCGTAATTCTCGTCGTCTTCCATTGGAAAAAAAAAAATTCATTCGCTCCCGCCAAAACAAATGCCATAGCACACAATCCGCCTCGCGCAGAAACTGACAAAGGGAATCATTTCGTGTCGTACCTTCTTACCGGCGTAACGGCCACGGGTGATGATGGCCACACGGCCCACTTTCATGACTATCGCGACATCCTGTCAGCTGGCATTCAAACGTAGTAAATCAAAAATCGGGGTGGTAGAGCGATCAACTAACACTTCATTGTGAAAGTCCCGGCGGCAACAAGGTCGATGGGGTTGGTTGTCGATGTGCTTCGGTCGAGTAAAGAGAGTCTCCGCCGTCGACGTTCTTTTTTTCGCTTGAGAATCAGGGCTTGCTCAGGGCTTTTGTGCGCCCACCGCTCATTGGTTGCATTACCGATGCTCCGTCGCTAAGCTGTTCTGGGAGAGTTTCCCCAACAGGCTTAGTGCCCGAGATGCCCGGGGGGGCATCGGACAAACTGTTCTTTTGATCACTTTGGTTCTCTCACCGCCCATGACGGCATTGTTTACTCGGCAACGGGGCGTTCTATCGGTTGCTAGGACGAAGCTTTGATGTGTACACGAGAGATTGGGCCCGATGCTGGTTGATGCCCCATGAGCTACCATTCAAAAATCTCTCTCCAGTTCTCAAACTCCACTCGGCTGTTTGGGTCACTTTACTTCTTTTTTTAATTGATTATCTACTGCAAGATCGACTCGGGTCTTTTTCTGTTGTGATCCGTTCGTCGTTTACTTCCTCCCCTCCCCTCCATCCCTCGATAGCAAGCGCTTTGATACGTTTTCTTTTTTTTTTTTTTTGTTCTGTTTTTCACAATCCTTGCTTCCCTGCTGTACGACGTGCTTTGATGCGACCAAGAGTTATCTGCTTTTGCTTTGTTTTGACGAATTGATATGCCTAACGACCTTAATTGACGAACATTCTTCTGCGCATTCCACCTACACTAACCCCTCTTGCCCCCGATCCCAGATTTATTCTTTCATCAACGAACGAACCATACAGGAAGTTCACCCTATAAGCCAGGTCTCACAATGCCGGCGGCTCACACTCGCGACGGTTCCCGAGATCGGGAGCTCGTTGTCAGAAACCAATCAATTCCCATGTATGTCTCAAGTCGCACCTAAACAAAGGCTTTCTGCCGCCCCATGGCAAATGAGGGACTGCCTCAGACTGACCTGGACATCGTGGAAATGAAGGTGGGACAGTTCAGATCCCGAACGGGCGCCTCCGCCGCTGCCCATGAATCCCGGTTCGACCAGTCCGGCGACGAAGGGCAACGTTTCGCCCGGTATCCAAGCGATGGCGGCTACCTTTACAGAGAAGATGCGGGAAAACGCCCCAAGTCCATATATCTCCAACCCAATGCCACCGAAACCTTCGTCGCCGGAGAAGTCTCTGATCAAAGGCCAATTCCACAAGCGAATGCAGTCATTCCAGAATAGCTCGGATCCGCGATCTGAGTTCCTAAACTACCTAGAGAGCAAATCGCCGGAACGGCCTCAACGAGCGTCAACGTTTGATTCTGCGACAAAGCTGCCGGAGAAGAGTTTAATGAAGTCTGAGATAGAAGAGCCGGAGCCAGAGCACGAGCCCCCGAACTTGCTCATCTCGCCCCGGTATCTCTCCAAACCGATCCTGGGGGAAAGCACCCCCCCTTCTGCCACCATGCTCGCGCTGCAGAACATGCAACTACCCCCCGAGCCTGCTTCGCAACCAAAGAGCGTCGAATCAGATCCGTTCGTGGGTCCGAGCCGTCCTCCTAACTATAGCTTCGAATCCTTGTCCACGCAAATCCACAGTCTCACCGACATTGCCAGCAACCTCCAGCGCGAAATGGCCCAACTCAGCCGGCGAAGCAAAGACAATGCGACAGACCTCGTTAGCCTGAAAGCCGCCACGAATGCGCGAGACGAGGATATCCGGAAAAGCCTCCGGGAGCTATCCTCCAACTTGAACTCGAGGTTCTTGGATCCTGATGCAGCCACAAGGTTTGATTTCAGTGCTCTCCTGGGTTCTGATAGTGGTGTTAACAATAGGGAATCGGATAGTTCTCCGAACTCGAAGAAGAGCTATGGACGGATGCCAAGTCCTAATCCCTTCGCGGCGGCAATGGAACGCGAGTTGGCCGCTTCGCCTACGCCCATATCCGATGGATCGGCCAGTATTGCGCTATTGGAGAAGGTGCTCCGGGAGATGGCCACCAAGGAAGGTCAGGAAAAGCTCACGGAATTGGTCGACGAGATTAAAGCCCGCCCCGTCTCCGACGCTTCCGGCGAACCGCTTGATAGTAGGACAACAAGGATGCTGGAGGAGATCCTGAGTATCATCAGAGATGAGTCGGAGAGTAAGGCTTTGGTGCGGACACGTGCACCCTCTGTCACCGGTTCTACTGCTTTCAAGACAGGCCGATCAAAATCCATGGACCCTGAGCATTTATACATTCCGGACCTGGACATGGTCCCCGGGGATAACGGCCGACTATCAACACGCTCTATGTCCCACTCTGACGAGCAGACGACGGAAGAAATGCTATCGATCATGCGACGTGTGAAGAACAGCGTGATTGAAGGAGGCGGGATGACCAATGAAGTGAAAGCACTGGTACGCGAGTTGCGCGGCGAGGTGCTGGGCATGGGGCGAAACCTGGCCCGGAAACTGGACGAAATCGAGATAGCTCGCGAGGCCGCAGAGGACAAGCCAGCCGGCCCCGGAAAGGAGGAGATATCCGCGATTGTCAACGACTGTCTATGCGACCTGAAGGAGCAGCTGGAAGCAATTGTGACCGAAAATAAGCAGCATTCAACTGCTCTGTCAGAATTCCGCTCCGCGATGGACGGCGCCGAGATTTACTCCATTGTCCAACGGGCCTTTAATGATCTCGACTTATCACAGTTTCGGGATGAGCCAAGGGGCGCCACGATGGAGAAGGACGACATCCTGGATGCAGTTCGAGATGCCTGGGAAACGTACAAGCCCGAGATTGAGCTGGAGAACTTTGGACTTGAACGTGATGAGATCTTGGAATGTTTGTCAGATGGTCTCAAAGCCTATCAGCCGCGGCATGAAGATGCTGTCACATATGATCAAGTCCTGGCAGCTGTACAGGCGGGTATGCAGCAGTTTGAACAACCACCCACTATCACCAAGGACGAGATCGTGCACACAATCCGTGAATGTCTCGAAACCTCTCAGACTGCTACCAGATCCGTACACGACGAGAAGCTGGATGCTATCCGGGAAGATATACTGCAGGCAGTTACCCAATCCGTAGCATCCCAGAGTGCACTTACAAGGGAGTCACTGGACTCTGGCCTTGGTCGCGAAGAGATCTTGAGCGCTGTCGCAGCGGGTATCCAAGCGCACTTTACCTCTGCTCGCCAGCTTGAGCAACCACACGTTACCAAGGAGGAGGTCGCCAGTGCGATCAACGACGCATTCTATGCCCAGCAGTCGGCTGTCAGTACCAACATCCAGCCTACAGTTTCCCGCGACGAAATTCTCGCTGCTATTGCCGAGGGCCTGGAGGCCCAGAACAGCATGACCCGGGAGATCGAATTGAACAAGGACGATCTAATGGAAGCTATCTCAGCTGGTCTTCACGAAGCCAACGCCGAGAACCACCATGTCGGGGATCAGATCCTTGAACGAGTCATGGAGCACCATGACGGCATGAGAGAGGAGCTGAAGCAGCAGTCTCTTGCTAAGGAGAACGATACCATGCAGATCCTGGACGCAATCAAAGATGGTATCGCTGTCGTGCGACAGGAGGTCGAAGGTTACGCTGCTACCGCCGCCGAAGCCTCTGGCACGCATGAAATCATGGACACCGTGAAGGAAGGCTTCCGACTGCTCCAGGCAGACATGGAAAGGACAATTGCCGAGAGCGTAGTGGCTAGTGTTCCTCGCAACCCGGATACCCCAGAGCTTCTCGATGCAATGGAGAAGGAGTTTGAGCACCTTCGATCTACGATTAGCTCTCTCCTTCGGACGGAACAGAGCACCTCAAGTGATAAGGACGAGATCCTCGACGCCATTCGCGATGTCTCCGAGGCTCAGAAAGGTCCCAAGAGCCAAGACATTGCCAGCATGATCAAAAATGAATTTGAGCAGCTCCGGGAGTCGATGAACATGAGTCTTGTTCGTGCGGAGCCCGAAGCGCCGAAGAGTGACAAAGATGAGATCATTGCCGCTCTTCGTGAGAGTCTGGACACTTTCCGGAGCGAGAAGAGTGAGAAGAGCGACAAGGATGACATCATCGCTGCACTTCGCGAGCATCTCGAGAGCTCCCGTGGTGAGCGCTCCGATAAGGATGAAATCATTGCCGCTCTTCGTGAGAGCTTTGACACTTTCCGAGGCGAGAAGAGCGAGACAAGTGAGAAGGATGAGATCATTGCTGCACTTCGCGAGCATCTCGAGAGCTTCCGTGGTGAGCGCACCGATAAGGACGAGATCGTTGCCGCTCTCCGTGAGAACCTCGACGCTTTCCGGGGCGAGAAGAGCGAGAAGAGTGACAAAGATGAGATCATTGCCGCTCTTCGTGAGAGCTTTGACACTTTCCGAGGCGAAAAGAGTGAGAAAAGCGACAAGGATGATATCATCGCTGCACTTCGCGAGCATCTCGAGAGTTTCCGTGGTGAGCGCACCGATAAGGACGAAATTATTGCCGCTTTGCGGGAGAACCTTGAGACTTTCCGTGATGAGGGCAGTCGTTCGCGGGACCTTGGCGAAACTGAGTTCTCAACTGGTGACCTGATTGACGTCTTCAACGATGGTGTTGGTAATATTCGGGATGACCTGGGCAAACTTCTGGAAAGACCAGTTGAGTTCGATTACAATGAGCTTCTTGACACTCTGAAGGAAGGGCTTAGCAGCCTCAAGGCTGATGTTGAGATGCTGCGCAAGTCCCAGCTGGACGCAGAAGACGTGACCACAACCAGAGGTGGAGAGCTGATGCTTGCCAGTCAAGCCAACCAACCTACCCCATACAATCAACCCGACATTAGCAGTGACATGGAAGCGCTCAAATCTCTCATTTCCCAGCTCCAAACAAAGGTCGAAGCCATCGAATCCACACCACGAGCCGCTGAACCAGCCACAGACGCTCTCAAGAAAGAACACCTGGATGAGGTCCTGGCAGGCCTACACGAACTCCAAGGTTCCGTCACGGGCATTGTGGCGCGTGAGAACCCTCCAGATGAGGCCACGGCCAAAAAGGAGGACACGGATGCGATCGAGACGTTGTTGCGGAGCACGAAAGCTCAGCTGGACGAGATGAAGTTCCCCGCTGCGGACGAGCTGGCAAGAGCCGAGCAGCTTGGCAGCTTGGAAACTATAGTCAAGGAGACGAAGGAAGCCCTATTCGAACTAAGCACCCGTTTGGAAGCCGAGGGCCCGACCAAGTCCGAGATCGGTACTCTGGAGACTCTCATGAAGGATATGTGGCTTGCCCTCGACGAGTTGAAAGGCAAAGGCCCAGAAGGCGGGAGCGACACTGAGAAATTGGTCAAGGCTGACCTGCAGACAGTAGAGGCCATGATATTTGAAGTGAAGACCCAACTCGACGAGTTCAAGCTTCCCGACCCAGAGACCTTGCCTACCAAGACCGAGGTTCAGGATCTATCGGCCCTGGTCACCGAGTTCAAGGAGAAGGTGGAGGCTGAGAATGAATTGACAGCCCAAGGATTCGAGGCCCGCAAAGTCGAACACGCCGGTCTCGCCGAGAAGATCGAGGAAGCCAAGGCTGTGGTTGAAGGACTTGGCGACGAGCTCAAGAGCAAGCTGGACGGAAGCAGTGAGGGTCTCTCTGAACTGAAGCAGCTTCTGGAAGGCTTAGCGGTCTCTGCAGAAAGTTTTACGACAGTCGAAAATGTTAAGGAGCTCACAGAACTCATCAATCGCGAGTTCGAGCGGGCACGCGGTGAACAGGACGCGCACAAGCTCGAAAAGGAGGAGCGCGACGCGGCTTCTCTTGTCAAGCAGGACGAGACCAGAGCGGCTATCATCGTGGAACTTGGAGCGAAGATCGACGAGAAACTGGGCGAAGTCATGGCTAAATATGATGACATGCAGACTGCGATGGATACAAAATTCTCGCAGTCTGTTGAACGTGACAACGCCCACCTTGAAGCCGCTACTAACACTAAATCCCTCGCGGAGGACATCAAGCTTGTTATCGGTACCATGGGCGACAGCGTCAATGAAGCCTGTGAGCGTATCAGTGAGGATACCAAGTCCTTCCTGGAGAAGGTGGATGTCTCGTATAACAAGATGGAGGAGATGCACAATGAAGTGAAGACCCAACAGGAACAGGCCCGATCTGACATTGAGCGGGCAGCAGCTGCAACGGATCGTGTGGAAAGCAAGCTGCACGAGTTCCACCCACAAGTCTTGGAGTCTATCCAGGAGATTCTCAACATTGTCGGACAGCATTACGATCACTCGCAGAAGTCGGCTGAGGCTATCAAGACGGACCTGTCTGCTCTTCCTTCGACTATTCCCCAGATGCTCCCCGCTTTGCCACCCCCCGAGCCCGAAAAGTACGATGACAGCAAGGTCCAGGAGAAGCTGGATAACCTATTGCATCATGCGAAAAATGAAAAGGTGCAGGAGGCCCTCAACATTCTGGTTGAGCGGGTGACAAACGACCAAGTGCATGAGAAACTTGACCAGCTCCTCAGCCAGACGACTAGCACCAATAGTCAGATGTATGACAAGTTGGATGAGCTGCTCAACCACGCTGCGGAGAATAACGGGCCAATCCACGATAAGCTCGATACCATCATCGATCATGCAACAAATACCGACCAGTCCGTCACGCAGATGATGAAGCTGGACGAGATGCACAAGGATATTATGGAGACGTCCCGCAAGATGACCGAGATGTTTGCAGCCCAGTCCGCAATCGTGGCTGAGGATAACGAACGCAAACGCCGCGAGGCGGAAGAGGCTGCGGTTGCTCTCGAGCGGCGAAACGCACAGAAAGAGCAAGTGGAATCCGAGATCGTCGACCTCAAGGATGAGAAGGAATCTCTTCTGAAGATGATCCAGACCCTGAAGGCCGAGAAGGAGGACCTTGTTAAGCAGACCACGAAACTCGGAAAGGAGCTGTCCAGCTTGGAGATGGCTCTGGAGCTCCGTCACGAGGAGATGCAGGTCATGGAGGACCGCGCAGACAGTCTCGAGAAGCGCATCTTGGAAGGTGTTCTCGACCACGCTCGTAGCGTTTTGCTTAGCCGGCCCAACAATGGTCTGAACATGAAGAAGTCGCGGGGCTCTCGGGCTCGCGGCCCTAGTGCTGCTAGCACTTCAAGCACTGCACGGGAAGCTCGGAATATCTTGAACAACAGTGTTAGTATGGCATTAAGGAAGCGGTCTCAGGCACAGTCCCAGGCCGGGGCTGCTACTCCGACGAAGGACGGCAAGGAGAGACGGATCCTCAGTTTGAGTAACATGACCGGCAACCGCGGACCTACCGATCGCCAGTCTAGTGTCGGCAGCGGGTTTGCCAGCTTGAAGCGCAGTCACTCTGTGAAGTCCAACGTCTCCGACCGGAAGTCTTCCTGGGGCGGCAGAAGCTCCATGGTAAACAAAGAGAATGAGGTGTTCCCCGAGGAGGACGAGAACCGCAGTGACATCGAAAGCGACGTTGGTACGGGGCGAAAAGCAAGCTACGCCAGCAGTATAAAGTATGGGGCAGGTAGCACCGTGTCTAATGATCGACGAATGAGTGGCTCTAGCACCGCCACTGAGATCGTTGGCAAGGGCTCAGTTGCCGATGATGGGGACGGTGCTTCGGAGACACTTGACGATCCTAAAGCCGACGATCCCGAACTAGACTCCGAGTCATCCAAAATGGTGCTTTACGGACAACATAGCGACAGTGGGATTGGTGTAGCGAGCGTCGCGGGGTAGCTTCAGGTGATGGCCTGATTGATGTTTTGACCTATGATCATGTGCAGCCTGATATGGATTCTTGAGATACCACCGACGGATGGTTCCGCCGGACAAGTTCCAGCAGTGTTTAGGGTTGTTCTAGACTCGTCTCTTTTGTACTTTCCTTTGTTGATAGTTTTGTTTAGCTTGAATGCATATGATGTCTATTCTTGTTTAGCGATAGATACATCACAATAATATATTTATGATCCGTACTTTGCATGTGTCCCTTGCACGACTGTAGTCCAAACTTTCTAGTCACATAATAAAACGCCATTCCAGACGAATATCTCTGTTCTGCTGACTAGATCTTGCCTCATTCTTAACCATGTTTCCCACGCCGGATATCCACATGATAGGCTTCGACCGTGATGTCAAGACTCTTGGGATAGAATTTGCCGGAGCATAAAAGCATACAACATTGACTCACGGGCATGGGTGATACGCGTGTTTCTCGAGTAAGATAGGCCGAACTGTGGTCCATGATAGCACTCATATATAGCCCTAAAAACAGCATATTCTGGGACATCTAGACCGCTCAGCTGCATTCTGGAAACATCAACTAGTGTAGTCGATCAGGGCTAGTGATCCAATCACGAGGCCCGGGGCGATCAGCAGGTGCTGAGTCAGCCTCCCCAACGGTTTCGTCCCCACGAATCAGGCATCCGCAAGGCACGCGAGCAACCGCGGCATTTCATTAGTTTATTCATCACTAGAGATGCATAAGTGACCTTCTCCTCACCTCAGCTCGAGACCATGGCTGGCCTGGGGTCTCTCTAGACACCGCCGTTTGATGAACGTCCCCTTGGTTCACTTCGACTTTCCTCTCTCCGTCTATATCCAGTATTCCAGCTCTCGGCTGTTATACTGGAGTCATCAAGCTCACGCAACTCTCCGACATACACTACATCATCTACCGACTAGGCACCGATAATAACCCTACCCTCCAACTGCTCTCACCTCGTCGCCAACGCCGCCAACCCGGCATGTTGGACCCCTTCCCCCCTCCGCCAGCATGGCTCCGAGACCGCGTCGAGCCCTGGGCCCTTTACCTCAACGTCCCCGCCCTCTCAGACCACATCCATGAAGTCATCATCGCCTTCGCTGGCTACCAGTTCATCCACTCCTTCCTCTCGCCATGGCTCTCCCCTATCCTGTTCCCCCGCCACTATCCACAGCTGAACAAACGCACCAAGCTCAATTGGGACGTCCATGTCGTCTCCCTCGTCCAGAGCGTGCTCATCAACGCCCTCGCCCTGTACATCATGTTCTTCGACAAAGAACGCAAGAACATGGACACCGGAGAGCGTATCTACGGATACACGGGCATGTGCGGACTCCTCGAGGCCCTAGCAGAGGGGTACTTTGTCTACGATATCATAGTCAGCACGATGCACATTAGAATGTTTGGCGTAGGCATGTTATTCCATGCTATTAGTGCCTTGTGGGTGTTTAGTTTTGGGTTTGTATGTCTTCCCTCCCTCCCATTCCATATCCGATATAACAAAAGAACCTCCGCCTCTCCTACCCCATATATCAAGCAAGAAAAGAGAAACTAACAAAATCCTCCCCAGAGACCCTTTGTAAACTTCTACTCCCCAACATTCATCCTCTACGAACTCTCCTCCCCATTCCTCAACATCCACTGGTTCCTGGATAAACTGAACCTAACCGGGTCCAAACTCCAATGGTACAATGGCATGCTCCTCCTCTCCGTCTTCTTCTCCTGCCGCCTCGTCTGGGGAACCTGGCAATCCATCCACGTTTATAAAGACATGTGGTTCGCCCTAACCCAGACCTGGTCTCTATCCCCCCTTGCGGGAGGATCTTCCGTGGGCCTGGACAGCGCCATCAACTCCGCCGTCTTCGGACACAGGGCCAAGCTTGCAGAGCAGTGCGTCGATGAGGTCTGTAAGAGGGCGAATGAGGAGGTGTTTAAGTATGCCGGGTTCACGGCGGGAGGTGTCCCGACGTGGCTTGTGGGGACTTATGTGGCGGCGAATGTGGTGTTGAATTCGTTGAATTATTATTGGTTTTCGAAGATGGTGGAGACGGTGTTGAAGAGGTTCAGGGGGCCGAAGGAGGGTGGTGCGAAGAGGAATGGGGAGGGGGAGAAAAAGGAGGAGGCGGTTGAGGAGGTTGTTGAGAAGGTTGTGCTTGAGGCTGCTGCGTCCCTTGAGGAAGAAGAGGGGAGTCCGTTTCTTGGGGAGGGAGTTGCGAATGATGTGGATGTTCGGGGGGATGTGAGGAGAAGGAGGTAGTGTTGAGTTAGGGTTTGGGTGTGGGGAGATGTTGTGGAGGGTAGATAAATGGGGTTGCGCATTATGGATCGGTGCTTGGTATATGGTTATTTGTATTCATCCGTTCGGGCTGGGGGCTTGAAGGTTGTTTATTTGCATATCGAACTTATGTTGCTTTCTGATCAGATATAAAGAGTTTCATTAAATTCATCTTACTATATTCGAAGTATATAGTAGATTCGTCGAATTCACATCCCAAACACATACTTAGAACTAATGGGTACATAACACTCCCAACCAAACACCGCATGAGCGCCCCAGCCAAAATCCGAAGATAGCTAAACAAACACAACCAGTATACCAATCACCGCAGCATGGCCTCCGGCTTCGCGAGCATGTACCGCACCGCTTCGCGGGCCACCGGCGAGTCCCAAGCGCCATCGGCACCTCCGCGGCGGAACTCCGGGCCAGTGGCATCTTCGCCGCCACCGCGCGTCGCCTCGCCCAGGATGGTCTCGAGGTCCCTGCGCTGGGAGTTGACCCAGCGACGGAGGAACGTGGCGGGGTCTTTGCTCAACGCCGTGTAGAAGGAGTGTTTGGCACGCGAGTGTGTCAGTGCCTGGACGATGAGCGACACTTGGTCGTCCAGAGTGGAAATCTGTCGCAGCCCGGCGGTATACTGTGGGTTCTGGGTCAGAGCGAGCATCTTAGCGCGGAGCGGGTCTTCCACGGCTACTTGAATGTCGTAGATGGTGGGGGTGGGGTCTTTGTGGAATTCCTCATCGACACGGATAGTGTATGGAAGCTTGATCGGGTCAAGGGGACTGGTGTGAGGGCCGATGCTCTCTGGGATCTGTGGGAAGAACATCTGGTCTCGGCCGAAGATCTGTAGACGTTAGTACCAAACTGTTAAATAGTGAACAAGATGAAACATACAGATCGCAAACGGTGATCACAGCGGACCAAACGCTTCTCCTCATCCTCTTGTAGACCCATCGCGCGGATATAATCCCAAATTCCAAGCACAATTCCGCTGCGCGTTTCCTCCTCGACATCGAGCACCTCCGCCAGCTCCTTGCTCAGCTTATACCGCTCGGGAGTCTCATCTCTGACAAGGCTCACGGTAACATTCAGGTTCTCCTGCGAAGCTCGAGAGAACTGCAGAGAATCGAAATCGGCTGTCGGCGGCAGTGTTACAGTATTAGCCGGAAGTTGTGGCTTAGTCCAGTTAACAGTCTTAATCTCCTCTGGGTTCGCGGTTGAAGACTTGTCGAAATCGACTGTGATCGTTTTGAAAAAGTGCGAAAAGCGCTGCTTCGACCGCTTCGCGGCGTTCTTCTTGGCCTCCTTCCCGTCGTGATCCATGGCATCTCCATTCGCCTGCGTCTCGTTGCCCTCGTTGTCGCTGTCCTCAGGGGCCGTAGGATCGGCGTCATCATCCAGCAGTCGTCCCTCTATGCGTACCTTGTAACGCCCCGAGCCGGGGTTGGTCACTGACCCGTTCTGGCCAGTTGCGCCCTGCCACGGTTGGTTCTCGACTGTGTTTGTAATCCAAATGCGCATCGTCCGGTACTTCTTGACGGTCTTGCTGATCGAATCCTGAATATCCAACCTCTTCCGGACGATGGCGGCGTCCAATCGCTTCTCCAAATCGCGCAGGTTCTTATACTGCTGTACGCCTTCCCCGATCACTACATCTTCGATGCCGTCGGGGATATTCTTGTCGGTGGGCTTGCGGCTCCGGCGAAGAGCAGCATCGTTGGGGTGTGGCATGTTGCGCTGGGCGGGGATATACTGAGCGGGAACAGCGTGCTGTGGCATGGGTACAGGCATTGCTTGGCCAGCTGTGCAAAACGAGATTAGGAGTGGGAGATATACGAAATCAAGGGGTGGAGACTACCTGGTCCTTGGGGTCCGCGACGAGGCGTGGCAGGAGACCGTTGGGCGGCCTGCGGGAACCCACGTCCGTAAGTGGGCGGCATTGGAGCATTCATAACTAGTGGCTAGCTAGGCAGAGCAAAGCGAATCCACAAGGCCCTTAGTCGGGTTTAAAGGAGTTCTGGGACGATGAAGTAAAGAACTCTCCGATGGTATTGAAGATGTTCTCTTCGAGTTCTGAAAGTCGCGATTCTTTTGCCGCGATCGCGCTTTACCCGTTTAGGCCATGCCCCAGAACACCAAAGCGTCGACATCATTGACATGTTTTGACTACGATCTACTTTTGAAGTTTTTCATTGCGAAGTAATTCTACGTGTATTAATGTCTCCACCGTCTATCGTGCACCGGATTTATGTCTGTAATGCTATATCATTTCCCAAACATAACTCAAAAACCCAACAGGAGCCTTTACTCCAGCTGGGATGCCTGATTAGTGTACAACTCTTCCACCACGTTGCTCAACTTCTCAATAGTCTCCAGGGCAGCGTCATATGCTTGATCGCGCTCCGTCTCGTCGAATACAATCAAGCATCCAGAGCCCTGATCTAACACGCCAATGATCACCTTATCCAGGATCATCTGCGAGAGCTTCCGCTCCACCTGCGGGGTGTCGAGCCCTACCATCTTGGCAATATGGTCCAGCTCAACCCGGCTGAAGGGCTCAATGACCTTAATCAGATTCTGCTCCAACATGGCATCATACAGTCGGCGGAGGTGGTTCCGAATAAATACGTCGCTGCCCAGCTCGAACCGGTAGTCCGAGAGGGCCTTTTCATATTCTTCAAGCGATCGATTGGCGTGAGCGCGGGCTACAGCCTTCATGGCCTCGAGACGCGGGCTAGCGTATTTCTGGGCCTGCTTGGAGCCGAGCAAAGTCGTCACATCATCCCCCAGGTTCAGCATAATCTTACACAGTAGCATGTATTGAAGAGCTGCTGTGGCCTTGTCGCTTTCGTCGAGCGAGCTGTATCCCTCCAAAGCTTCAATGAAATAAGAGAAAGCAGTAGTAAAGTCCTTGTCCTCCGCGTGCAGCATACCGCTTTGCATGTCTAAGCCGGCTTGCAGATTCGGAGGGGTATAGACGGAGGCGGCCGATGTGCGAGAAGCTGTCAAAGCAGCGCGGCCCTTGGCCTGGTTACCCAAAGCATGATACACCCGAGACTCTAGCAGCTGGACCTCGACCAGCATAAGTTTATCATCCAATCGCTTCAGCTCGCGTAGGAGGGAGTTGATCAGGTTCAGGGCATCATAGTAGGATTGCTTCTGCATGTAAATGGCCACAAGACGGGTCTGAAGGTTCTGTCGAAGGAAGGATCTCCGCTCTGCGATAGCCCAGTCGATGCAGGATTTGATGACGGAGGTTTGAATATCGAGTGTATTAGGGATCTCACTGAACAGGTCCAGTAACTGGCGGACTATATAGAGTCAGTTCATTGGGACTGGGCGAGTGATGCATTGGTGCCAACCAGCTTACCAAGCTTTGCTGTCTTAGCTTTTGCGAATGATGAGAATGAATCCCGGCTAGTCTTAATGAGCTCAGCGATCTCGTTCGGCTTCTTCTCATCCCGATAAAGCTCTCCCAATCCGACCAAAGCACTTTCATAATCACGCGACGAAGCTTCCGTCGATCCTGGACCTTGAGAGAGGATGTCCTTGTAGATGGTCTCGGCCTTGGAAGCGTCCTTCTTCGCGAGAGCCCGAGCTTCCTCTATCCGCTGAGCGGTTGTCGAAGAGGGCGCCATGATTGAACGTCTTTTAATGTGAAAGGGGACGGGGTATTGAAGTTTCGTTATAGAGATAGCTGAGTAGTGAGAGAGACCCGAGGAAACGGGAAAGAAATAAAGGTTTCAAGGTGGAGGGGATGTGAGATGTCTTGCTGATGAGGATAAGTCACCAGAGGTATCGTCACTGTTGGAGACGGTCCAAGCTACAGCCGCCCCTCACCGCCCGCGGGTTGGCGAACCAACCAGGACTAATAATACCCGCCAAAAAAAAGTATCTGGAAATTTTATGTCCGCCGCCAAAACATTTTCTTCTTTTCTTTCTTCTGCCGTTTAACACAGTAAGAGCGTCATGGTGAGTTCAAATTTCTACATACACTAAGTGAGCATGTTACTTATTCCACCACTAGAAAATTAAAGCTCTTTCTCGCCCTACTGCCTCGCAGCAGGCTCCGGGATCAGCTGTCGTTCGACAGCCCCGAAACCTTGACCCGGCGCAACATCCATTCGAACGTGCTCGAGAATATACGCGAGCTCTCAATGCCACCAAGCTTGAACGTCTTTTCGCTGCACCCTTCTTGGCTCAGATTGGTGATGGCCACGTGGACGGTGTATACTCCATGGCCAAAGACCCAGGCTCGTTGGAACGTTTCGCCAGTGGCAGTGGTGATGGAGTGGTCAAGGTCTGGGATTTGACGACCCAGGGCGAAGTTTGGAACACAGAAGCCCATGAGAATATTGTCAAGGATGTGTGCTGGACGCCTGATCGGAAATTGCTTTCTTGTGCGGCCGACAAGACCGTCAAGTTGTTTGATCCGTACAACTCATCGTCCGATGCTCCACCTCTCGCAACTTATCTCGGCCAGGGTGCCTTCACCAGTCTGTCCCACCATAGACATCTTCCTACCTTTGCTGCGTCGTCATCATCTCAGATCCAAATCTACGATCTCTCTCGGCCTTCTTCCACGGCCTCCCAGACCCTCAACTGGCCCACCAGTATTGACACCATCACATCGATTGCCTTCAACCAGACAGAGACGTCGATCTTGGCATCGACCGGTATCGACCGCTCTATTATTATGTATGATCTGCGAACTTCGTCCCCGCTCCACAAGCTTGTCCTACGACTCGCGTCGAACGCCATCACGTGGAACCCCATGGAAGCATTCAACTTCGCGGTTGCCAACGAAGATCACAACGCCTACATATTCGACATGAGGAAGATGGACCGCGCGTTGAACGTGCTGAAGGACCACGTGGCAGCGGTCATGGATGTTGAATTCAGCCCGACGGGTGAAGAGTTGGTGACGGCGTCATACGACCGAACGATCCGTGTGTGGAACAGAGCCCAAGGTCACTCGCGTGATATTTACCACACGAAGAGAATGCAACGGTATGTATATTTGGCTCACACTGACGGAAACAAGTGTTGCTAACAGGATACAGTGTCTTCTCTGTTAAGTTCACACCCGACAACAAATACATTCTGTCCGGGTCGGATGACGGCAACATTCGACTCTGGCGTGCCAATGCCTCCGATCGCAGCGGTATCAAGAGCGCCCGTCAACGGGCCAAGCTAGAGTACGATCAGGCTCTGGTTCAAAGATACTCACACATGCCCCAGATCAGAAGAATCAAGCGCCAGCGTCATGTGCCAAAGCCGATCAAGAAGGCCGGCGAGATCAAGAGAGAGGAACTCAACGCGATCAAGAGACGCCAAGAGAACATCCGGAAGCACACCAGGAAGGACCAATTGAAGCCCAGACAGAGCGAGCGCCAGAAGATGATCTTGACATCGGAGCAGTAAGGCACCGCGCTTTCTCTGGGGATGGAGACATACCACATCCGGTCATATGTGGGATTGGTTCGGAGGACAACTTATATACATCCTGCAGACTTTGCATTTCCATGGACGTCTGCATTCAACCCGGTTGCACGTTACATCTCATTCCGTTTTCGCTGCCTTCGGTTCATCATGCGATGTCTGGCTTGACGTTTGCGCTACCGCATGGTCGACTCCACTCAAGAATCGGGCAATACGCTGCAGACCTGCAGGCAACACCGCATACCAGTTCACCATCGTGGCGTACGCGGGCAGTCGGATGACACCCCCTCTTCCTTCATCTATCGCAGAAATGATTTCCCGAGCAACTTGGACTGGTTCCAGAACGGGGGCGATGAACTTGTTTGGTGTCTTGACCGATGAAAATAGTGGTGTCGCCACCTGTCCTGGCTCAACCAAGATCATTTTCACCTTCTCATCATCCCCCGACACACGAAGCTCCGCCTCTAACGTCCGATGGAGCGCACTCAGGCCGGCCTTGCTGGTCGAGTAATCCGCCAGACCTGCCGGACATAATTGGCCCAAGACCGAACTGACATTCACGATCGTACCGCCATTCGGAGCAGCCAGCATGCGAGGCAGGAACGTCTGGCAGGTATGGAACACCGCGAACAAGTTGGTCTGGATGGTTTTCTGGAATGCCTCGGCGGAGAGCGACAAAAGCGATTGACCGTTGATGCGCGCCGCAGCACAGTTAATAAGAACTGTCGGGGTACCTAACTATCGGGGAATCAGCATCATGTATATAAATAGGAACGAATACAAAAAAAAATCCGACAAAAGTATCTTAACCCTTCCACTTCTACTCCAGACGTAACCCAAGTAGACAAAAGCAAAAGGACAACAAACCTCCTCCTCAATCCTCTTAAGCACACCCTCCAACATCTCCCTCCTCCCAACATCACAGGTATAATACTCCACCCCCTCACAAATCTCCACCTCCGTCGCATCCTTCAAATCCAAAACAGCCACACCAACCCCCCTCATGGCATAAATCTCAGCAATCAACAACCCCAACCCACTCGCGCCTCCAGTAATAACCACCACTTCCTCACTCAACTCCACCGTCCTCGGCAACCCATACGCAACCCGCGCATTCACCACCCCCGCCATCGCAACCACCGTCAACAAAACCGCATACGCGGTCGCGAGGATAAACGCCAGATCAGTGGTCGGTGTCACCTGGGCGCGTAGACAGAGCACCAGAATCCAGGCCGGCCAGGGGTGCAGGATTGTGCGCCGTAGCACGCTGCAGATGAGGTCGAGGGTTAGTGCGGAGTACCATTTCGGGGGTTGGGTTGGGGTGGTGGTGGCGGCGGTGGTGAGGATGCGTGTGGGTTGGGAGGGTGGTGTGTTTGGGGGCATTGTTGGTTAGATTGGGTTTTAATTGTTCAGTCGTTAGTTCATTAGGGGGTTGGGGGTATTGTTGATGTTGGTGTTGGTGGTTTCAACTGTTTTGTTCTGTTGATAACTAAGGTGTGGTTCTTGCGATAAGGTTGGCTTGGGATGGCGCTAGGCCGTTTGTGGGGGGCATTCAGGTACCGCGGTTTTATAGGGCATGTTCTGTATGTACAATCCTTATAGCCTGAGATGGATGTCATAGGAGGATTGAGAAAGGAATTGTCTGGGATATGGAGTAATTAGATCATTCTATTAGTTTATTTACTTCTTGTAGAACTCATGGTCTCCTGATTTCGATCAGACAACGCTGTGTATATATATCTCTCTCTCTTTTCAACATAACCAGAGACATTGCCCTTTGTCAACAGCTTACGGGTTCTACTAGATCACTCTATTAGGCTTCCAGGGTAAACACATTCATTTCCTGTATTCTAAATAATTGTGTAATATGTTACAACTGTATAAGCTATAAGCGTCTAGAAATGATGGAAAAGGCCCACTGCACATGTTGTGAAACCTACCACATATCTCCGGTGCACAAGCACCTCAAATTTCAATTCGACGGCCTCCTATCTTTGGAATAACCATTCCTACTGTTTCAGACTAAGCCTTGCCCTTTCTCTATTGGTTCTGGATCATGTCACTCAGGGGTTTAGAAGTAAGCTGTGCGACAATTACATGCGAATGATCTTGTGGATCTCTCGGAACATATACTTCTCGGATATGATATTGAGTGATCAATAAGCCTGCTTATGCTGCACTAGATGCTGGACATCACAATGGTGTGTTGAGTGCTTGTGTTAGAATAGAGGGTGCAGTTGGTTTGGGGGAGTTGGATGAGTGTTTGCACTTGGGGAGAATGGGGATAATGTAATTGTTATGGTTTGGGGATAGGAACTGGGGTCGATCTTTTTTCTTCAATACTCATTCTTATAAGATTATTATTGCTTCGCCTCATGCTGTATTGTTGCATAAGAAGGTGGACTGCTGTGGTAGGGCGCCGGGCACTGTTACTATTTGGGTCGAAGAGGTCCACTTGCGGTATTAACATAGCAATTGTCCTCAGAGATGGTATTTTGGCCGTAAAATCCTGTATTTATATGTCATAAGTTTATCCACACCGGTAGACCGAGGTATGGTTCTGCTCTTAGTTCGGAGTAGACAGCTCCATGTCTTAGAGTAAGCCTCACTATCGTCAATGGCAGACCCTCTGGGATCCTGTAGTAGTGCACAACTTTGCGTCTCGGATTTTTGAAAAGCCGGTATGATAGGAACTAAAGCACCTCACTCAAGATAGGTCTAGTATGTCCGTTGATAAAGGAGTTCGGCGATTGAATGCTTGACGATTAGCACTTGGCCTGGCTCGCTTATTCATTGATTTCATTAGGATTTCGGCATAACTATCCTGAACACAGAAGCGGACGTCTTCCAGAACTTGGAGTAGAGTAGCCTCATACATTCGTTAGTTCTATTTCATGCTAAGACCCGATCCAAAGAGATGACATCGAGCCACCTCCTCAATCCTCCAGCTTCAACATTTCTCTATACCTCTCACCCAGACAAGGGGCAAGCAGTGTTTTTTCAAATTCATCCAACTTCCCCGAGACTCGTCCGTTCGCAAAAGCTCTTGCAAAGTCTCCATAAAGTACTGTGTCTGAGTTCAAACAGTGCGACTGGGCGAGCCATGAAGCATCCGTAGTCATATCCCAGAAAGTGGTCCCAGATGTGAAGGGTAGGACACTCAATGCGCGAATAGTCGTACAATGTCCTACTTTCAGGACTGAATACAAGCCTTCAATCAGTATGGAAATGATAATAGTTCTCCGAATACTCTCTGCAAAGATCCATTCCTGCCAGGTTGGCGTGGGGCCTAGTTCACTGGTGCGACCTTGTAACTGCATGGTCCAGGCTCGCAAGGTGTCCATATGCTGCTCCGCGATTGAGCGTTGTCGGATGTCACCGTCGAACAGCTGAATAATGTGGAATATTATTAAGGCCTGTACTGCCGCGAGAAGCTCTTCGAGAGTGTTTCCTTGATGATTCTGTTTCACAAGATTTGCAGTTTTGGCTTCTAGAATATGTAATATCGTATCTTCCGTCTCTGCTGTTTTAGTATAGTAGGAAGCCGACACGGTGAAGGCATCTTGAATTGCTTCTGGGAGGGATATGTCGTATAAGCGACGATGGATAAACGGAGTCCTCCGGGAGCGAGCAAACATCTGCGGGTAGCTCTTGATGCTTTGTAGAAGCTGCCTCGTTGACCACTTGTCAATAACAGAGGTCTCTGGGACATAGCCAGCTGGGAGCAATGTTGGGATGGCGGATAAAGAAGGGCTAGGAGTAAGCCACGAGGTGACCAATTCTGCATCACTGAATAGAGTGAAGTCATCCGGCAGAAAAGCCGGAAGAATATCATCCAGTGAGGGTGATGATGGTGGCTGGATTGGTAGAATCTTGGGAGACTGCAGTCTTTGCTGTTGGCGCTGTCCTCGGATGTACATGCATTCCAGCCCACGCGCAAGACACCGCGAGCACTGCGGAGTTTGGCGGTCGCAGCGCCGCTTCCCTCCAGCGCATGCGACGCATGACTTCTGTCGAGAACGATTGTAAGGTACTGTGCGGGACATTTCTTCGAATTATGGGGTAGTTGGGAGGTTGAAAAGGAGGATGACGCATGAGATCACGGTTGAGGGCAAAACTCCGCAGCAAAGTCCGCAGCCCCCACCATCAAGTCCGCAGGGCTGTCTGTCCATGAATTAATATTGGAAGATCCCCTCCGCAGACTTATGGAGTCATACATTGAATTAGTCAAGTCCGCAGGAAACATGGTATCTGGTCTTGAACTATGTGATGTGGTGACAACACATAAAAGGGCCTTGTCGTCCTGAGTCTTGGAGAGATCCGTGTCCTGTCAACAAGAACACACCTCGTCCACTACAATGGCCATCACCGAACTTATTTTCCCTTCGATCAAGACTGACCCTGACTCACTCAGGGAAATCGAGCAAGACTGGCCGATAATCAGCAAAAGATTAACACACCCTAATCCTGGCTTGCTGAATGCCTATCGCGGCTTTCTCCTCACCGAGAACGAGGTAGATGTGAGAGATGCTCACAGAGAGTTCCTTCTATTTGGTATGTGTCCTTGGTTTATCACCTGGAAAGGCTTCTGACATGATTTTGGTATAGAGTGGGTTAAAGCGGAAGATTTCTATGCCTTCATTAAGTCCGCCCAATTTGGCAACTTTGCTGCTTCGATCAAGCATCTGGTGAATGGGCCGCCGATGCTACAACTCTTTGCAACCACCATCAGCCCGAGAGAGGCAGCTTTGGCCTCCGTTGTTGAAATCATCAGGTTGGGTATCTCAGAACCTGAGAACGCGGAGACATCCACACAAGTATGGGAACGGATCTCTCGCTTTCTTTGTGGGAAGAAGGCTTCCGTCACGTACGGAACAAGCTCCAATCTTGAGAACGAGGTCGTTGCCGGCATCATAGGATGGCATAGTCTAGAGGTAAGGCCAAAGACCCTGTCCTTCCTTGTGATCTATTACGGGGCATCACTTTGCTTACATTGAACAGACTCGATCTGAGATAATCCAAGAGGCCGAGTATACCGAAGCGTTGAACTCACTCCAGTCCCTAGGAGACGTCAACCACATTACCGTCGACATTGCTGCAATGGAATTGCCACCCCTTTAAATGATATCGTATGAGGTGGAAGCCGGTCTATATATTGGTAGCTTGTAATCATCTTCTATGTCATCACTCTTGTATATCTCTACTCCAAATCGTGTGGAATCAGTGAATCAGTAGGAACGTATATCATCATTAGGAGTTTTAGCTCGTACCAATTCCAACGTCAACCTCGTTTTACAAAACTTGTTATCAAGAGATTGACCTTTAGAATTGGTATGGAATAATACAAAACAAGGCACGGGTGAATTTATCCTATAGAAACTCTCCTGGCGGATCGTTAAGCAAATCCCAGTACACGATGGCCGCTTCCTTGTTGAGAATGCAACTGAGATTCCCCTAGCTTGAGCTTCCAATGATGAACTTGGTGAAGATCGCGCCTTCCTTTCAGATTATGTCTTGTCTCTTGTCTGGCCACCGAACTGGATTTCCTCCGTCATTTGATTCCTTCATCTGTTCACATTCTTTCTCTCTCTCACCCCCAATCATTACTGAACCACCACATATCTTCTCTATCATTAACATTCATAACTTACTACAGTCAGTTATCTTTTACTCACTGCAACGCAAGGTACTTTTGCAGCTGCCCCAGGCTGATTCAGTAGACTCCACCCCACCCAAAGATCTCATCTCTACAAATTCCGCAAGATGGCTTCACAGCCTTGGAAGGGCAAGCAGCCAGAGCAAGGGCCGTCACAGCCTCAAAGGCTCGAAGGAACATTTGACCCTTCTGAGCAGCCAGGGCAAGGGCCACAACAGCCTCAGATGCCCAGAGATCTTTGGCAGCCCGACCAAGGGCCTTCACAGTCACGAATGCCGAGAGGAACACTTGACCCTCCCGAGCAGCCAAAACAAGAGCCGTCACAGTCTCGGAAGGGCAAAGGCCTTTGGCAGCCAGAGCAAGAACCACAACAGCCTCAGATGTCCAGAGGCCTTTGGCAGCCGGACCAAGAGCCTTCACAGTCTCGGAAGGGCAAGGGCCTTTGGCAGCCACATCAAGGACCTTCACAGCCTCAAGGACCCCCGGAAACACTTGACCCTCCCGAGCAGCCGGGGCAAGAACCTCCACATCCTGAACAAGAACTGCCACATCCTGAACAGGAACTTCCACAGCCTGACGGGCCCACAGAAGCACTTGACAATGTCCAGCAGATGACCGCATGGCTAGGTACCGAGAGATGGACCCGGTCACTTCAAGAAAGGAACCAAAGCATGCCGCCTGCTCTTAAAGTAACTCGTAACATTGACCGACTCTGCACAAGATGCGCAACCTTTCCCTGGGAAACGATCTGGAAGCCAATGCGCCGTGGGAAACCCAGTCGGGCGACGAGTCAACCACACCCACTCAGCACCATGTATAACCATGTCAGGGCGGCTTATGAAGGTTGTCATCTGTGCGCTTTGATATGCGTCGCCATGTTCAGCCGTGGAGAGAGGAGGGTGCACATACCCAGATGGCAAGAATATCATCTGAGCGTCGAAGGAACGAGCGCCGAATGGGACAGCCGAACCCAGCCAGCGCCAAGGAGATGGAGCCGTGATACGTTAGATGCAGCCACCCGCATATCACACCGTATGGAATCTGGAAAAGGGGTGCTTGTGATCGAAGTCCCAGAATGCGAACCCGCGAAGCTTTCGGTCTCCTTTGCGCAACGCGTGGAGCCATCTCTTTCATCCACTGTTCGATCTGGTGGGCGTACGAGTGGCTTGGCCAGGCACTGGATGAAGATATGTGATGAATCACACCAGTCCTGCCAACGCACTCCTTCCGTACTCCCAACCAGGGTCATCCAACTCCAGATCGTATACGAAGAGTTGAGAGCCAAGCTCCTCATTACCAACGGGGAAAAGGACCAATACGCTGCTCTCAGTCATCGCTGGTCTTCTTCGACCTCATTGACAGTTACCACAGGTAACTTGGAACAATTAACGCAGGGGATCAACCTTCCCGAGTTATCACGCCCCTTTCGCGACGCATTGGAAATCGCCGCCGGGGTCGGACTCCAGTATATCTGGATTGACGCCCTTTGTATCCTCCAGGATGACGCTCACGACTGGGCCAGGGAATCTGCCAAGATGGGCGATGTCTACCGGCACGCCCATATCACGATCAACGCCTTTGCGTCGGCCGATGACAATGGACAATGCACCACGGCGTACGTTCCTACTACATTGGTGGATTATGCCTGCCGGATCGGGGAGGAAGTGTATGTCCATGAGGAGGATGGTGGACTCGCGAATGTCTACGAGGTGGAGGGTGTCCTTCAGACACGGGGATGGGTTTTCCAAGAGGAGGCGCTTTCCCCACGACGTCTGTACTGTGGAAAACACCATCTGGTCTGGCAGTGTGCGGAAATGTGGGCGAGAAACGACAGGCCATGTGGGTTTTCCGGGGACGTCTTTGATAAACCCTTCATGTCTACCTACCCATGTTCGAATTGGAAGTTCGCGTATCGCCAATGGCGCCAGATGGTGCAAGACTATACCCGGCGCAACCTGACAGACCCGGCCAAGGACAAGCTTCCAGCCATATCTGGCTTGGCCGCGGTCTTTGCACAACACTTTCCAGGTCATCGTGTTGGAGATTACCTCGGTGGAATATGGCGAGGCGATCTATACCGTAGCCTCCTTTGGTACCGTGCCGGTAACGCGATCGACCGAGACCGACGCATCGATGGGCCATCTTGGTCTTGGGCGTCGTGGGACGGTCCGATTGATTTTGTCTTGGACGACGACGATGCCGGTTGGCCGGCCAGGATGACATGGCCACCGCACAAGAAATACCCATGCAAGGTGCGAGCGGCAACAACGACATTGACGGATCCGGCAAACAAGTATGGTCGAGTCTCATCGGGCAGAATGGTCATCAAAGGAAAGGTGCTCATGAACGCGGGGCGATTAGGCGAACAATCCAGACGCACCAGGACAGCGGATCCAGAGATCCACCTGGACTATGACGAGACCTTTCCAGCGGATAGCGTTTTACTTCCTATCACCCATCGATCCGGGCTCCTGCTGAGAGTGGTTCCGTGGAGTGCCCATGAGGCGATCCCGGTCTATCGGCGGATCGGATTGTGTATACGCCCAGCAAACCAAGACGATTTGTACTGGCTGCGTGGCGCTCGGTGGGAGACCCACGAACTGACTCTGGAATAAATAAGTAGCTTCCTTCCCTGCACCAAGCGGGGAGACGATAAGGAGCAGGAACCGGAGACCTCCGCCGCCGGATTTCTTTCCCGTATGTACTACAGGATTCGTAGTCGTCGTCGTCGTCGATGAGCAAATGACACTATGTTCTTATTCATATCATTTAGTTTTTTTGCACTGCTTCCCAGTAAACAGAAGCAAAGACTAACCCACTGCTTGCGGTCTTGATCGACCGTCCACCCACTTGTATAAATAAATTTATCTACTAGGAAAAAATGCCACCACCGCAACTCTCCCCCGCAATCCAAACCATCTCCAACGTTCGTTTACACTCGCACCGTCCAAATCCAACCACCTACGACCTCACCCTCTCCAGAGAACAAACCCTCAGCTCCATAGCTCCCCATCCTCACACTACTACTACTACTACTACTACTACCCCAAACAAATCCCATCCGCCTCTCGCCCTTCCAGCCCTAACTCACCCCCACATTCACCTGGACAAAGCCTACATCCACAATTCCACCGCCATCCACCCCCAAACCGGCTCCTTCCAAGAAGCCCTCACCCTCACAACCCAAGCCAAATCCACCTTCACCGAGCCCGATCTCCACCGCCGCGGTGAATGGCTCTTATCCGAGTCCATCCTCAACGGCGTCACAGCCCTGCGCGCCTTCATCGAAATCGACTCCACCGTCCACCATAAATGTCTCACCACCGCAATCCACCTCCAACACGCATGGCGCAACCACTGCCACCTCCAACTCGTGGCCTTCGCCCAAGACCCTCTTTTCTCGGGCCCCCACGCCCCCGAAAATCGAGACCTCATGCACTCCGCCTTCATCGAACACGGAGACCAGATCGACGTCATCGGCGTCACGCCCTACGTGGAAGCGGATCTCGAAACGGCAAAACAAAACATTCAATGGGCCATCACCACCGCTTGGCAACTGGACAAACATGTCGATTTCCACCTGGATTATCATCTCGACCCCAAGAAGGGCCCGTTGGTTTGGTACGTGCTTGATTGTTTACGGGCCGTGGGATGGACGAAAGCCCGCACAACGAAAAGGGTTATGTTGGGTCATTGTACACGGTTTACCCTGTTTGGGGGAGATGATTGGGATCGATTGACGACGGAGATTGGGTCGGGTGACCTTGCGTTACCGGTTAGTTTTGTTGGTCTGCCGACTAGTGATTTGTATATGGCTTCTCCTCCGCCTCCTTCTTCCCTTTCTCCTACTTCTCCTGGTTGTGAATCTTGTTCTGATCCGAAGGAGAATGGGAAAGTGAGAGATACAGTTCGTGGTACAGTAAACGTACCCGAGCTGATCAGACGATACGGACTCGACGTCGTCCTGAGTGTTAACAATGTAGGCAATGCCTTCACACCCTGGGGCTCTGTTGATCCGGTGGCATTAGCTTGTTTGGGCGTTGGGGTTTATCAAGCCGGGACGGTGGAGGATGCCGAGTTGCTGTATGAGTGTGTTTCTACGCGTGCTAGGGCTGCTATTGGGTTAGAGGAGGGAACTGAGGTCTGTGTGGGTGAGGGGAAGAGGGCGGATTTACTGTTGTTTTTTGATGTGGATGAGTCTGGTTGTGGGATTGTTCGGCCGAGGAGGAGTGTGGCGGAGGTTGTTTGGGATCCGCCGAGTCGAATGGCTAGGGCGGTGGTTTCTGGGGGAAGATTGGTGCGTGGGAAGGGGGGGTTGTGGGATGAGGGTGGGTTTGGGTTTGTGTAGTTGTGTAGTTGTGTGCTTGGTTGGTGTTAGTGGTGTGTAGTGTGTGTTGGGTTGGTGTTAAGTGTATGAGGAGGATCATAGCGGAGGTAGATTGAATAAGTCTGATAGTGGGAAATGTTGATTATGAAACTTGATAGTCACAGTGTGAAGCTTTGTATCATTATCATCTTCTAATAGGCAAAAAAAATGTGAACATAAATCTAATGTTATATAGCATGCAACGTAACGACCCGGGTAATCCGTCAAACCATTCCTCGCGGAAATCATAACCTGACTCCAAAAATCCCTTAGTATAATCCATCCCAACCAACTCCTGCTCCTTGAACCGGAAAAACCTCCCCAATCATCTAATCACAATACTTTACATCCAATGAGAAAATGGATGAAAGAGCCCAAGAGAAGAAATCACGAACCCCAGAGAGGGGCGACTTCGTTCGCTTGTGCTCGAACCCGTGCCGGTCCGTGTAATGCGTAGCTGAACGTGCGACATGAGACGTCTTCAAACATGATATCCATGTCGTCGGCATTCGTCGACAGACGGAATCCGTTCCCGGCACGTGGGTACAGGCGATGCTCTGAGAATTCATACTCGGACTCCTCGGACAGGTCGTCGTGCTGCGTTTGGGGCGCGGATGAGGGAGTAGGCAGGAATTCGGGAGTAACACCTGACTTGGGCTGGGCCGTGTCTACACCATTGGTTAAAGCGTGCGTCATCGAGTTAGTGATGGTTGGCGTATTCGAGGAGGTTGAGGATGGCGTAGGCACCGCCACAGTGTTCGGCTTGAACGAGAACTTCGATTGTAGAGTCTTCAAATTTTTAGGAAACATGGGTATCGCCGAGTGTTGGTCGGACAACGTGACCAGTAGTTCGACAAGAGTCGCATGCGACAACCCCGATAGAAAGCCCCGTCGCTCATCGGCCGAGAAGCCTTCCCCTCCTACTTCCGTCTGGGGCATGATTAACGGCGCATGCACCGGAGGACCTAACGACGGGCCCGTGAGACTAGGATTGCTCCTAACCACCGTCGGCTGGACAATGGTGATCGGCACGGGCTGGCATTCCCGACAGACCCATTGTCTTTCCTTCACGGTGACAACCTGCGAGTCAATCGGAGGGTCATGACATAGCTGGTGCCAGGGCCCATTGCACGCATCGCAGAAGACGATCGCGTTGCTCTGCGGACTATGTCCCCTCTGGCAGTGGATACAACTGACTATGCCGTCCTTGGGTTTGCGATACACCCGCTTACGTTTCCGAGCAGCCGCGCCCGGCCTTTGAGTAGTATCCGATGCGTCGAGCGAGTTACTGCTGTCCTTGGCAACCGTTGGTGACGCGGACGGAGGTACATATAACGAAGGACGGTTGACCTGCCGACCAGACTTAGTTTGTGTCGCCGTCGGCGCAACGTCAGATTCATCGGAGCTCGAGTCTCCTGCTCGGATGACATCTTCTCCATCACTGTCGTTACCACGCCGGCGCTTCTTGCGCTTCGGTCCGGTGGTGGTACTTTTTCGTTGGCGTGGACCAACGGCTGCTCTCTTGCGCTTAGCGGATGGGGGTGAATCTTTAGCCGCCGGGGCTACAGGCTGGGGTTGTGAAGGCAGTGATGGTGGTGGTGGGCCTCCTATTGAGGGTGGCCCTGCGGGTCTGGGTGCAATATGAACAAGGCTGGTTGGCTTGTCATGGCTACCCTGGGGAAGTGTCGATGTGTATGTATGTGTAGTAGAGGGAGATGCAGTGGAAGGAGCCGTAGCAGGAACCTGTTGAGACACCGCAGGGGTTGTCATATGACTCGAGTACACGAACGGAGCTGTTGGCAGCTCGATTATGGTAGAAGAGGCCTTCATTGTGCCTGATGGTTGGATGCGTGGTTGATTCCAGCCTTGGTTGAGTGATGGGTTCCACGTCACGAATTTAGTCGCATTCTCATTCCTCTGCTTCTCCCCTTTCCTATGGCCAGTGACCCGAGCCACGAGTTCAGTGGTCGCGGGGGACAATTTCGGGATATGGACTTTACTCGAGATCGCGCTCGGTGGGCGACTAGGTTTCAATGAGGGCGACAGGGAAGGCGAGACCCGCTCGACGGTGGGAGCCGATGTATGCAAGCCCGAGGAGGTTCCGTGGGCTGCTGGTGGCGCTGTCTCTATAGACGCCGGCGTGGGAAGAACCCCATGGTGCTGTGACATTAGCCCCCCCCTGCCCTGGCCAGTGGGACACCGTTACAACGCGGAATTTATGGGTGACTGTGTATAATTACACGACCTATGAGTATCGACTGTCCTGAACGGCGCAGAATTCGCCTTTGCGACGGACCCAAAGATTGAAACTTATATATGGTCACGTGATTAAAATCCCCCCGCGCCCTGGAAAGCGAGATTCATCCCTTTTTAAGAATTCGTTGTCAATCATGCTTTCGGGCGGAAATGATCATCACTAGCCTTTTGATTCACTCATTGTGATCTCTATGTACAAAAGGTGCTACTGGTACCAGAGCGATGCAAGGCCTAGGCGCTGCAGTTCGACGCATATTACGGCTCGTAACATCTAGCCGGTTGGCAAACCGGTTGTCTCTTTATGACACTACACCGTCTTGCTTCAAACGAGCAATGTCATCCTTACCGTATTCGAGAATCTCCCCAAGAATCTCATCCGTGTGTTGGCCAAGGGTTGGGGGCGGCGTCCGCACGCCAGGCGTGGCATGGGAATACTTAATCGGCGTGTTGACTAGCTTGATGGGACCGCATGCTGGATGATCGACTTCGGTGACCATCCCACGCGCTTGGACTGTACCGTTGATCTTAGTAACCGCTGTGACAAGATATCATGTGGATGATAGCGTACCGTGAGAATGGTTGAGGGTTCCTTGAATGTCATTGACGGCGGCATATGGCATCCCGCTGCCTTCCAAGATCTCCAGCCATTCTTGCGTCGTCTTTTGTTTGACTTTCTCCTCGATGAGGCCATCGATCTCCTGTCGGTGCTTGACACGGTCACTATTGGTAACAAACCGAGGATCGGTCTTCCACTCGGGGTGTCCTAAACGGTCGCACAGCACACCGAACAGTCTGTCGTTCCCGCCGCCAAAGAGAATGTCTCCATCCAGCGTCTGATAACTCCGGTAAGGAACAATGGAAGCTTCCGAGCCGTCAGAATTTCGCAACTTTTTCTCTCTCGAAAGTTCCGTACTTACGATGCGCGGTCCCCCATCTTCCAGTATCCTTCTCCCCGCTAATCAGCGCAGAGCTAGCAATATTCGCTAGCGTCGCGACCTGACAATCGCTCAAGCAAGCATCGATATGTTGACCCTTACCTGTCCGCATGCGAGCCAGCAGCGCCGCCATGATCGCATTAGATGTATATAATCCCGTCGTCAAATCCGTAACCGCTACACCCACCTTCACCGGATCCCCATCCCGGGCCCCAGTGATATGCATCAAGCCCATCTCCGCCTCGACCATGACATCGTACCCAGCCCGGTTACTGTACGGGCCCGTCTGGCCGTATCCGGTGATACTCGCGTAGATCAGCTTGGGGTTAATCTCCCGCAGGGTTTCGTAGTCCATATTATATTTCTTCAGACTTCCGGGGAGGTAGTTCTCGACGAGAACGTCGCATTCTTTCGCAAGGCGGTGCAGGATCTCCACGCCCGACTTGTGTTGAAACGACAGTCCTAAGGATTTCTTGTTGCGGTTGACCTGTTCCCCCGTCCATGTCAACGGAGTGCGGGATCTGGAGATGAGCGATAGATCTTACACCTAAATAATATGCGCTTTCGCCAGGACCTTGTCGCGACTCATCCTGGTATTTGGCGTATGGCGGTCCCCAGGCGCGAGTGTCATCGCCCCGCACCGGGTGTTCAATTTTAATAACATCTGCTCTATTCCCAAGAGCACAAGTCAGCTATGACCCACCTGGACTGTACTCACCACCGGCAACGGTGACACACATACCCTAAATCTCCCAGAATCTGCGTACAGTATGGCTATCCCCTGGTCAGCACCCGTGCCCCAACAATATTATAGAAATATTTTAGACCATCAGGATCAAAAATACATACACCAGCCAAAACCCTCGTCATATCAAGTACCCGAACGCCCTTCAAGGGCAGCGTATCGTCCGCCGGTGTACTGGAGTATGTGCGCCATGGAGCTGTGGTGCGGCGGAGAACCGAGCTCGACCAACGAAGCGCTGGCCGACGGGCGATAACAGCCTGGTGCAACTTCAACGTGACGTTCATTGTCGTTCAATTGAAGCGGTACATATGGATTCCACGAAGAGAGGAAGGTTGGATCAGATTCCACGTCATGTAAAGTTGGGGTTATCAGGCATGTATATCATGTACTGTCCGCGGACCGGGACCGGGACCGGAGCTCGATTGGAGATGTTTTTCTCTCATTTCATTCGGGCAGTTCGCCGATAGCTTGACGAGATCGAACTCCAAAAGCCGAGGTCGATTAAGCATGCATTTCCGCCTTTAGCGCCGAGCGGGGAGCCGGGTGCTATTCTATTATCTTTTGGGTATATTGTTTTGGTTTTCTATCGTCGATCAAAATATCAGTCTCTCACTGTTCATTGTAATTCTATTCCATTTTTTGACACTTTTTTTTTTTTTTCCCCTTAGGTAATTAATCGCTCCTGCGCGGCGGGACAGCTCCAAGTGTGGTGGGCGGAGAAGAGCTGTGTGTCATTAGATTTAATTTATTAAATAAATCTACTTATAGTTCTTTGATCTTCCGCTCTCTTCCGCTTCAACTGCCGCGGGAGTTCATTTCACAACCTACCTAGATTCTATTATACACTTCACACCATGTTTACCGGCCTTGTCGAAACCATTGGGAGTGAGTACACCCCTCCAATCAACTACCATTCTTTGGGCAGCTAACATAATCCCCAGCGGTCTCGTCCCTCGAGCCCCTCGATACCTCCGCAAGCGGGGGCGGGGGTACCTCATTGACCATCACGAACTGCGAAGAGATCCTGAACGACGCACATCTCGGTGACAGCATCGCAGTAAACGGTACGCTATTCTACACACACAGAGAGACAGAGAGAGAGAGAGAGAGAGAAATACACCTACCATTGTGCCCGCAACCCACTAAAACCACTGACTCACTCACAACTAACCCCAAACCCACAGGAACCTGTCTAACAGTTACGGCCTTCGACAAAACATGGTTCAAAGTCGGTGTCGCCCCCGAAACTCTCCGTCGCACGAACCTAGGCTCCCTGACCACCGACTCCCGTGTGAATCTCGAGCGCGCCGTCCTTAGCGAAACCCGCATGGGTGGACACTTCGTTCAAGGGCATGTTGATACAATCGCGACCATTCTCTCGGTTACGCCGGATAGTAATGCGTTGGTGTTGCGGTTACAGCCTCGTGACCGGGGTGTGTTGAGGTATATTGTTGAGAAGGGTTATGTGACGCTTGATGGGGCGAGTTTGACGGTGACGAAGGTGGTGGATGGGGAGGAGGGGTATTTTGAGATCATGCTTATTGCGTATACGCAGGAGAAGATTGTGACGGCTTCGAAGAAGGTCGGGGAGGATGTGAATGTGGAGATTGATATTGTCGGGAAGTATGTTGAGAAGAGTGTGCAGAGTTATTTTGCTGGAGCGGGTGGAGGTGATTTTGCGATTTTGGAGAAGATGGTGTCGAGGATTGTGGATGAGAACTTGCAGAAATGATGTGTCGATGGATGAGGTTATGATACTAGTGGATTTGTCGGTTGAAATACCAATGACTTTTGTATTGCTTTTTTCAACAAAGGGTATAAATCTGGTCACCTAAATGCTGGTCTATTTCTAACAACCCTCCGACCCTCCCAGTCTCCGTGCAATTCCTGCTAAAAATATTCGAAGGCTTTGGTAGCAAAGCCGAAAGCCAGGGAGATCCGGCTCGATCCTCTATGTCGTTAATCCAGCCGAGTGGATGTGATTGCTAACTTCGCCCAGTGGATCCGTGCACATGAACGACACCGGAAGACAGTAGCGAAGGCGGGTCTGGGGCCTCCATATAATTTCTCGTGCCTTTGGGACATGATAGAGTGCGAGAAGTCGCTTTTCGGGAAAGATAAAGGAACCAAGAGTGACGCTCCCTTTACTCCTCCATGGATTCATCCTCATCCTCCTCGCCTTCGTGGTCCGCGCCCTCTTCATCAAAATCATCACTGAGCCAGTCATCCTCATCATCATCCACCTCCATGTCCTCGTCATCGTCATCCTCAACCTCCTTGCCTTCAGCCCGGGCCTTGGCCTTCTCTGCCTTCTTCTTCTCAATGTTCTCCTTCTGCTGCCTCTTCCGCTCTTCCTTCTCCTTCTTTCTCTTTTCCCAGTTCTTATCCAGCTTCTTCATATCCTCCTCGGACTTGTGGATGTAGTCGTGCCACATGACCTTGCCGTCGCAGAGACCCTCCTCGACCTTGATCAACCGGAGCTTCAAGCGGGGGCCCAATTCGACCAGCTTGACCGCGCGCTTCTCCACTTCGGGCGCGGCCTTCAGTTTCTTCTCAGCTTTCTCCTTCTCTCCAGCCTTCATACGCTGCAGCTCCCTCTTATTTAGAATCTTCTTCGTTGTGCTCTCTGCGATCTCAACCTCATTATCCGTGTCGAGTTCGGTTTCACTAGCCGAGGTATAACCCGCGGCTGACGGATCCAAAAGATAATCGGCAGCATCTTCCAGCTTTCCTAGATTAGGAACGGCAACGCCCCTCTTCTCCCTATTACGAACTTCCTTAGGATCCAGACGGCGGATGCGTTTTGAAATGCCTGTCTTCCTGGTAGTAATAGCGTAGTGTCGCAGATTCAAGACGTAAGAGTCATCTTCTTGGCCATCAGAATTGAGTTCTCGGTTGAGGAGCATCACACGGCGGATAGAGGAGAGAGGGGTAGCTTGGGGGTTGATCGGCGGGAAAAGAGATTGGAAGATAGTGGTTGTGAGAGTCTCGAGGCGCTTTGGGACTTTGCCGTCCTCGGTGGCATTCGGGGAGTTGAAGTTGTTCATCACCAGCAACGGTGGTGTCTTGTGGTCCTGGCCGCCGCCTCGCGGACGCTTCAATGCCCTCTCGACATCTCGGCACAGGGAGTAGTTCTCGACTTTGAAGTTGAGTGTTGGGCCGCGCGGCGTAAGCGCCAGGCGCAGGTTCGTGTTGCCCGTAGCGGACTTGGAGAAAAGCATAAGATGCGTGACACCGAGAGGACCCGCCATGACGGTGTAATCCCTCAGTCGGTTTGATTTACGTTCCTAAAGGATATCACCGTTAGTTTCTGTTCGAAAAGCGCATTGGGATTTTCACAATGCCATACCTTCAGTCGCACAGCAGTATCGGGCTCCATCATCAAACGGACATCCTTCACCAATTGACTGACACTCGAACCGACTTGCGAACCGCCAATCCGGATAACCATCGACTTCGGAGTTTTGCTCATGGAGGCGGCGCTGCCTTTAGCGGCGACGGCCGAGGCATTTTGGGCGCGAACATGAGTGCGCTTCTTCGTACGTGCCTTCGCCATTGTGAATCTGGCAAAGAAGAAAATATATGGTAGGTATGTGGTTCGAGGGGAATGTTATTCAACGTCCAAAGAAAGACGGACTTTTTTTTCTTGGCCGAAAAAGTAGATCGGCGGAAACCAGGCCGCGGAGCAACGCCGGACCAACTGTTTTACCGGGACCCACACTGATTTTTTGATATCGAACTATCAGGAAAAAGAAACCATTCGATCAATCCACCCAGTACAAACTCTTTGGTGCCAGATATTGATTCAATATGCCGGCGATTAAGAAGCGCAAGATTGCCCGCGAGGCGCCTCAACAAGAAGACCATAGCGATAGCGAGGCCCACAGCTCTGCTTCTGAGGATGCCGCCCCCAATACGACAGAGCAAGAACAAGAACCATCGGAAGCGCCTAAACAGGCCCCAAAGTCTTTCAAGGAACTGGGCCTCATTGAGCAATTATGCGAGGCTTGCGACTCCATGGGATACAAGGCTCCCACCGCAATTCAAGCGGAAGCCATTCCCCTCGCTCTTCAAGGCCGCGATTTGATCGGTTTGGCTGGTATAGCATGACCTCCATGTCCCATGTCATTGTAGGACTTCACTAACACTCGTACTAGAAACTGGTAGCGGTAAAACCGCTGCTTTTGCACTGCCCATCCTGCAAGCCCTGATGGAGAAGCCTTCTTCCTTTTTCGGCCTCGTCCTCGCGCCCACCCGTGAATTGGCATACCAGATCTCCCAAGCCTTCGAGGGTCTAGGAAGTACAATCTCCGTGAGAAGCACAGTTCTTGTTGGAGGCATGGATATGGTATCACAATCGATCGCACTGGGAAAGAAGGTAAAATTCCCCAGCCCACCTCGAGCAAAAAGGCAACCGAGCAGAAATCTAACAAAACCCTAAGCCTCACATTATCGTAGCCACCCCCGGCCGTCTACTAGACCACCTCGAAAACACCAAAGGCTTCTCCCTCCGCAACCTCAAATACCTTGTCATGGACGAAGCCGATCGTCTCCTAGACATGGACTTCGGTCCCATCCTCGACAAGATCCTGAAAGTGCTCCCCCGCGAGCGCCGCACCTACCTCTTCTCCGCAACCATGAGCTCAAAGGTCGAGTCTCTGCAGCGCGCATCGCTTCAAAACCCGCTCCGTGTCGCGGTCTCCTCATCTAAATTCCAAACCGTCTCCACCCTCCAACAATCCTACGTCTTCATCCCCCACAAACACAAAGACCTGTACCTGGTCTACCTGCTCAACGAGTTTGTCGGCCAATCGTGCATCATATTCTGTCGCACCGTGCACGAGACCCAGCGTCTCAGCTTCTTTCTGAGATTGCTTGGCTTTGGCGCCATCCCGCTGCATGGCCAGCTTTCGCAGTCTGCTCGTCTGGGTGCGCTCGGGAAGTTCCGTTCGAGGAGTCGGGATATCCTTGTTGCGACGGATGTCGCGGCTCGTGGTCTTGATATTCCCTCTGTTGATGTGGTTTTGAACTTTGATTTGCCCGGTGATTCGTAAGCTGCTCCTCCCTAGAGTTTGATCTGGTGCAAGGTGTGAGACTAACGGGAGTTAGGAAAACTTTCATCCACAGAATTGGTCGTACAGCCCGTGCTGGTAAGTCGGGTGTGGCTATCAGCTTCGCTACGCAATATGATGTTGAGGCATGGCTTCGTATTGAGGGCGCGCTGGGAAAGAAACTCCCTGAATACCCGGCTGAGAAGGACGAGGTCATGGTCCTTGCAGAACGTGTATCGGAAGCGCAACGCAGTGCTATTTTGGAAATGAAGAACTACGACGAGAAAAAGGGAAGTCGGGGCAAGAAGTTTGCCAAAGGGAAGCGGTCTCGAGAGGATATGGACCAGGAAGAGGGCTAGTGGGAGAAAAGTTAAATGTAGATTTCGCTTATTGCTAACGAATACCCAAATGAAGTTTATAAATGAACTCAGTGATCCTTGTACTGAGTGTTACGTAGATGACTTGTCGTAGTGACCGTAGGCCTTGTTTCCGATTAGCTACTAGGTCTTGCTAACTTCTAGTCAATTTTAAAAAGAACTATAAGGAATGGCTAAATCGAGTCAGATTTGCTCTGCATTGACATCAAAAGAAAACTCATCAGATCGTTCATAACAGTTCCCATTACCTCTATAATGCAACGACATTGCGGAGTTTTGAGCAACGTCGTTAACCCTGCGATTTGTGATGGCCTGGCCATGATGACACAAAGCTTCATCTATGCATGGGCAAGGTATCCTTGCACGTTACCAGATAGCTTCCAATCACACGGTTCCAGGGAACCACTTATAATTCGTTAGGGTATTTTATATTCCAAAACCTAAGATTGCAAGATCTCTTTAGCGGCGCCGGCATCACGGACGGCGTTGGCGACGCGAGTTGCGAGATCGTCAGCCTCGGAGCGGCTGGCAGCCTCAGCGTAGACACGCACCGCATCTTCCGTGCCACTTGCGCGGGCAAAGCTTCTTCCCTTGTTGTAGCGGGACTGGAGGGATTCGATCTTGAGCTGGAGGCCAGCAGGGGACTCGAGCTTACGCTCAGCATCGTATGCCTTGAAGATCGAGCGGTCAGCAACCTCCACACGGACCAGCCGGGAGGGGAGGTCGGTGTAGGTGCTAAGCCACTCCTTGGGGGTCCAGCCCTTGTGAGCAAGGATCGCTTCAACGAGAAGCATGTCGGAAATTGCATCGCCAACTGCTTGGTTGATCAGATCGGTAAGACCCTGGAGGCACTCAAGAGCACGTTGCTGAGCGGGAGACTGGGGTTCGGTGCTCTTGATAATCTTCAGGGCATTCTCAGAGAAAGTAATAGTGCCGTGACCGTTGGCTTCGAAGTAGACACCAACATCGTAACGCAGGGCAGCGTGGTGCAGGTGCTTCACGCCAGTGTTAGTGCAGACGGAGGGAAGCTTGAGCACTTTTTCAATGTACTCTGTACTAGCTCCGTTGGCGTACGCAGTCTGGATGATGCCAATCTTGAGCTTCTGCGCGATGCCGGCATTCTTGGTAAGGTCACCAATAAAGGCAGCGGCAAGAGTGGCAATACGGTCACCGTCAAGAAGACGGAAAACATTGCTCTCGTCGACGAAATAGTAGACAAGACGATCGGCATCGCCATCTAAGGAGGCACAACGGTCAAGAACAGCGGCCTTGGATGAGGGGGGAGCGCGCTGCTTGGTCTTGACATAATCGGCACCGCACTAGTATGTAGGTTAGTATGGATACGATGGGACCCATAAAGAGATCATACATCAAAGTTGAGGCTATCCGGGTTGATCACATCGTCGTTGATGACCTTGATATCGATACCACCCTCCTCCGGGCCAGGAAGGTACTTGAGGAGCTCTCTTAGCTTAGGTCCGCCAACACCATTTGCGCAATCGACGGTCAAAGAGCCCTTAACTTTGAGTCCCCGCATGACTCCCTTGAAAGCTTTGGCAAGCTTCTCATAGTATCCCTGCTCTGTGGGTTCACCGTACTCATACTGTGTTCCCAGGGTGTTCTTGCAACGGACAACGTAATGAAGCTGGGGGGTGGTCATGAATTTCAGATCAGAGAACTCAGCCTCTGTAGCGGTAAGCGCAGCGTTGAGAACACCGGCAAGACGAGAACCCGAGGCACGAGTATCCCGGGCAAAAACAACGCGAGCAGGGTTTTCCATGCTGATATCAATCTCCTTGATGAGTTCTTCGTAAACATCTGCGATTTTGTCTAGCGGAGCATTGGCAAGCTTAGTCGCATAGGTTTCCCATTCAGCCTACCCACGGGTTAAGTAAATATGCAACCGTCACAGATGAATTTAATTATTGGCGAAGCTTACCTCAAGCATTTCACCCTATTTTGATGTGTCAGTTAGCAACTGCTTCGTATGGGGTTATTTCTGGGGTGGCTGCCGCAACTCACCATGGGGTCAACCAACTTGACACCGTTGTCCTCCGCAGGGTTGTGACTGGCAGTAATCATGACACCAATCCATTGTCCACTGAGCTTCTTGGAGCGGAGACCAGCGAGCAAGCCCACAGCAAAGACGACGGTGTTGAGGACGTCACTGGAGATATGCGTTGGTCAAAGTGTAAACAAATGACGATCGCGGGGTATATGTGGAGGCGGGGCTGATCCTTCCAAAGACCTGGCGTGAAAATAAATATAAACGTAGAACTTACGCCTTCATACGGAACTGCAAGACAAGGAAAATTGGTCAGTACTTAATAAGGAAGTGAGGTCGATCATTAGTAACTCACCCCCGCAGTACCATACTGGAAGACCTTTCCCTCCGGCTTGACATACTGCGCTGCGGCCTCAGTGATGGCTTTCTTGATAGCGGGGGACGCCATTGTGGCGTGAATATGGGTCAAGAGAGTGTTGAGGATGGGTTAAGAAATTGGCGGGAGTTAATTGACAAGGGATGCAAGAGACTGAAGAGGGGTAGGGGGGAAAGGAAGGTATAAAGCTTGGGTCGAAAGGGGAAAAAAGCAGCAGGGCCCGTGACACGAGATAAATGTGAGACAACCCAAGCTTTGGGTACAGCCCCCCCCGAGCGGTGAGCGGGAACATGCGCAGTTGTTACCGTTCGACACCCAACTTAGGAAGACAGGGGAAATGCCCTAAATCCAATCCAGGCGTTGGGTAATAAAAAATACAAATAGTTTAAATACATGGTTTTAATGGCTAGAATATATGAACTTCTTAGATCTTCTCACCAGCATCTGACACTCATAGATTATCGGTCACCTGGACCTACTATACAGCAACTGACGTACATTTCTCAGGCCAGGAGAATTCACCTATAGCCGAGATATCTCTATTTGTTCAGGCTTTGTATCGTTTGCCCCGCACATCCTCTTCGATGTCCTTTTCTAGGTACCTATCGGTCACAGTCGAATTAGCATGACGGTTGGTAAGAAGGGGTTCCAATGAGGCGCGGACTTACATATACCACAGCGCCGTTGGAATGACAGTTCCTAGATGCCAAAGGCTATGGGCATCAATGAGCGCATGCCATGGAGGGAAGTCCAGTAGTTCCAGACTCATGGCCAACATGATCCAAACCACACAGATGGCCGGCAAGAGAGTCCACGTTTTCTCAGTACTTCGGTACCTGAAAATGCTGAATGCTACCCACAACAAGTTCTGGGTCATCCCGACCACGATATTCGCTATCATATTATAGGTGTAATCCCAGGACCAGAAGCTGAGATAGGAAACATGCAAGGTATAGAGGAAGATACACACCACGGTCCAGAGCCGACGCAATGTCGGTTTCGTTCGCGGCTCCTCCTTGTCTAATCGGAATATCCTGATAATCGCCAGGTATAATCCATACAGGACATTTGCGCCCGCTCCGAAATAGTCCAGCTTCTCTGTCAAAGAAAAGTCTCTGGCGTGGAAGATACTACTGAAGGTCCAGCATGCCAGGCCGCAATATCCAAAAGCAAGATAGTAAGTCCGTAGAGAAGTATGCCATGTCGACATGGTTTCGCGGATTCGAGATAAGCCGTGCCAGTGCGCATAGAAGTTGAGGAGGGAGAAAAGAACCGAAAACGGCTCCTGCATACCCATGATCCTGCGGAAAGGCCATTTTCCATGGAATTGGACTACTGGGTTGAGCATCGGAGGGTCACGAGCGACTCGACGATCCGTTACAACATGTTGGCAAGTATAGTCGCATTCGGCGGGACAGGTCCACCACATTAAGCGGAGGTGGAAAGCTAGAGAGGACGAATTAGTTTATGGGAGATTACCTCAGTAGTTTACAGGGAGTTCAAACGTACGGATCACGGAATTCCCATCTTGACAGTTCTCAGTTCGACAGATCTATCTGTTGATTAGCCGGTCAATCCGAAGCTCTTGGAGGTGCTGTATACCTTAACACATTCTTTAAAATCGGGAAGATGGTCGCCCAAGGAGGCAGTCGACTTCCCAATGAAAGTAGCAAGGACCAGAAAGCATGCGTAGAAGAAAACCTTCCTTCGGGTTGAGCTCCAATACATTGTGCTCTGTGTACCTGAATTACCGCCGACGGAGACGTGCTAACGTCAGGGGAGAGTAAGCACTTCCGCGCAAGTGGCAGTGCGCGTGCCAACAGTGGAAGGCGGAGTTAAGCAGCGGCAATACAAACATCTTGGCATTAAAAGAGCATACAGGGTACAACTCCAGCTGAAAGCTTTAAAGCTCTGCGTCTTACTCCGTAAGAGTCGTCCAATTCGAAACGCCCCACTTTCTGACTTTCCTACTAGTAGTAGTATTATACACACACTGAAATATCTTTGCACCCGAGTTCTTGAGTTTCTCGTAGTAAGGTTGTAGAATATCAATTTCTCCCTTATCGTACTCAGAGTGGAGTCCTCGACTAAAATGTCACTTTATCTAATTATCAGTTCTTCTAACCGTCAGCCAGTTTCGTACTCAATAGAGAAAATATACATATCCCCCAGCAAAGGAGCAATAAATGCAGTCCAGCCCCGATCAGGTATCTTGAGGTTCTAAGTCTACACGTGACTAACTGATTCCGGGATAGCGTTGTCTACGTTGGGCTAGCCTGAATTGGAGATTAGCGTTTTGTGGTGTTTGGTAGCCCCGGTCGGAGGAGATTTTCCAATGAGGGTCAGGAAGAGAAAAAAAGAAAGGGAAAAAAAAAGTTGGAGGGATCTATCTCGGAGGCGCTTATTTTTCCACCCTGCCTAAACTAGTTCTTCCTTCTTATCTCTTTTTATCTATAATTCTAGATTTTTTTTTTACCCTTTTGTTTGCTTGTTTCTTTTCTTTCTCACCTTCCCCCCTCTTTGTTAGAAAGATTCAATATTTTGAATATGAACGGATCGGAGCAGGCACAATCCGCAGAGGCTGCCGGCATGACCAGCAGTGCGGATCGCATGGTGGGCATGGATCATGCTGAAGTGCGTTATTTCACAAGGTATGGGTTGAAAACCTTGCTCCATATTCATTTGCATTGCTAATAGGAGAAACAGCTACGATCATCATGGTAATTACAATCGATAACTCAGTTGATATATACTGGCTAATCCTGAACCCCACTTAGGCATTCATGAGGAGATGCTTGTAAGTACCCTACTATTTGTTCAGCTTTCAATTTCAGCCAACTAATACCTGTGTGCTCGATTGTAGAAAGACGATGTCCGCACCAGATCGTACCGCGATTCTATCTACCAAAACCGTCATATCTTCAAGGACAAGGTTGTTCTCGATGTCGGTTGTGGCACCGGTATCCTCAGCATGTATGTGGTTAGAGCTAGGAGGGAATCTGTTCTATATACTGATAGCATGGCTCTACAGGTTTGCTGCTAAGGCTGGTGCTAAGCACGTAATCGGTGTGGATATGTCCTCTATCATTGAGAAGGCCAAGCAGATTGTCGCTTGCAACGGCCTGTCGGACAGAATCACTCTTCTCCAAGGAAAGATGGAAGAGGTTGTCCTCCCTTACCCCAAGGTTGATATCATCATCTCCGAGTGGATGGGTTACTTCCTCCTTTATGAGAGCATGCTGGACACTGTTCTCTACGCCCGCGACCGCTATCTCGTTCCCGGTGGCAAGATCTTCCCCGACAAGGCTACCATGTACTTGGCTGCTATCGAAGATGGCGAGTACAAGGACGACAAGATCGGATGTAAGAGCCCTTGCGTTCTTTCTCAATTATGCTTATTTTTCGAAAATACTGACTGAGACGCAGTCTGGGATAATGTGTACGGGTTTGACTACTCCCCCATGAAGGAGATTGCCCTCACGGAGCCTCTCGTGGACACCGTTGAGCTGAAGGCCCTCGTCACCGACCCTTGCCCCATCATTACCCTTGATCTCTACACCGTCACCCCGGCCGACCTCGCTTTCAAGGTCCCCTTCACTCTTGCTGCCAAGCGCAGCGACTTCATTCACGCTGTGATCGCTTGGTTCGACATCGAGTTTGGTGCCTGCCACAAGCCCATCACCTTCTCCACCGGCCCTCACGCCAAGTACACTCACTGGAAGCAGACCGTCTTCTACCTCCGTGATGTTTTGACCGTCGAAGAGGAAGAAGTCGTTTCGGGAGTGTTGGAGAACAAGCCCAATGACAAGAACAAGCGTGATCTTGACATCAATATCTCCTACAAGTTCGAGACCACCGATAACCTTCGTTACTCGGAGGGTAGCTGCTCCTATAGAATGTAAGGGTCTTCACTGCCGAACCTGTCGGCGACTGAATGCTAATTATCATAGGTGCTAAATATATTGGATCTGGTGAATCGCGGCACGTTCGGTTATTTCAATGTTCTCTTCTGAGTAAACAATGTTATGTCGGTAAATGCATGAGGGTTCAATTGTGGGAAGCATAGCATCAGTGGAAGTTCAATTGTCTGGACATTTGGGTCATTGACATGGCCTGATTCGGCTCTTTTTCTCTTTTCTTATTCATCCGGCGTTGTGTTTTGGCAGGTAGGGGAACGGCATCATTGTTCGGCGCGATACGGAGAGATGATTTGCACAAGAGACGATTATGAAGCTCCTCGAATTACCCAAGTAGATACCCCGAGTCGACGCTCAGTCCCAACTCCCTCCGACGTTCTCCTTCTTGAGTTATTTAGCTTCAAATCATCATGTTCTACACCTAAACTTACGTCCTTGCTACGTTCAATTAGATAATTTTATATTGGTTGCAGCCAATAATTACTCAACGGCCAGGGGAGTCCAGTTGATTTTGGGCTCGCCGACTGGATTTAATAACCTGAGGCACACCCTCGGTCTGTAATCAGAAACATTTCCCCATTTAATTCGTGCCTCGGCTTCCCCGCACCGGATTAGTCCTCCCTTAGCCTACGACGGTACGACAGCGGTAAGTATATATTCTCCGCAAGTGAAGACTATAGTCTATGAGTCCTCCCTTGTTGAGAATTGGAAAAATCCAATAGTATACTAATTCAAACTTCCCTTCGTAGCGGGAAATCTACGTGTCCAAACAAAATCAATCCTGAAGCTTTCCTCAACGCGACCACCGTTATCATTGTCCCCCATGTCGGCCCCCGGAGTTGGTTTTGAATATCCTCCTCAGGAGGTCTCCTGGCTTAAGCGTGATGCTTTGTTGTTTGCCAACAGCATCGGTGCTAAGGCTGACGAGCTTCACTTCCTTTATGTAAGCTACAATTAACCATAACCTTTCAGTCGGCAACTTCGCTAACTATTGAACCCAGGAACTTCATCCTAACTTCGCCGTTTTCCCGACGTATTCTTTAATCCTTCGTATGGCTACCCAGCCCTCGAAGCTGTTTACATGCATGCATGCTGACTGTGGCGGCTGTTCCGTGTAGCTTTTAAACACACTGATCAAGAAACTATTGATTTCTATGCACGTACGCAAGCAACTCCCATCCCCGGCGTCCCGAAATTCGACTCTCGCCGTGCTGTAGATGGCCAGCGCAAGATCACCATTTTAAAACCTTTACCTCCCACGAGCGCGGGCAAGAAGTTTCAGTTGCGTAATAAGGTCATTGGAGTCTACGATAAAGGCAAAGCTGGCTCAGTCGTTGAGACGGAGCAGTCCATCGTGGACGAGAACGGGGAGGTGTATACCAAGACGGTGAGCAGCGGTTTCATGGTAGGACAGGGCAATTGGGGTGGGCCTAAGGGTAAGCATGTGTTGCATATTGATGCTTTGTCACTCTGCTGACTGCATTCTCATAGGGCCGAGCGCCGTCAATTATCCCCCTCCTCAAGGCAAAAAGCCAGATGCAGTTCACGTTGTTCAGACGACAGCTGAAACTGCTCTTCTCTATCGGTGAGATAGTTTCCACCTAGATAAATATCCTTCGAAGTGCATCTCCATGCTAATAGTAGTCTCACTAGTCTCAATGGCGACTATAACCCTCTTCATGCTACACCTGAGCCCGGTCAGAAGATGGGATTTGGGGGTGTTATTATCCACGGTCTCTTCAGCTGGAACACTGCCGCTCACGGAATTCTGAGAGAGCTTGGAGGCAGTGACCCAAAGAATTTGAGAGAATTCCAGGCACGCTTTGCTTCGCCAGTGCTTCCAGGCGACAAGCTTACCACTGAGATCTGGAGAACAGGAAACATTGAAGATGGGTTCGAGGAAGTCAGATTCGTAACCTCAAATAACAGAGGCAAGGTTGTGCTGAGCAATGGCCGTTGTCTGTTGAAGGTTACGGGATCGAAGAGCAAGCTGTGACGCGTTGGGTGGGACGGCCTTGCTACTCCATGACTTCTATACTTAGTTTATAGTATTTGAGTGAACCATTTTCATTCTTTTTATTTTTTGCTGGGAAAGTTATTGCCAATATCCTATATTGCTATTTATTCCCTGACGCCTTTGTAACCGAGGCTTCTTCTCAACCAATGAAAAGATCCTAAAATGCGTTTTAGTGTGTAAAAAAGCACAGTCCCGGGTTCCGGTAGGCTTTCTCTGTTTTGAGTAAATTAAATTAGTCAAAGAAATTGGAGCCCAATGAATTAATTCGTGTTGTTATTGGGGTCTGTACATGGTTGTTGACTGACACGTGACAGTGGAGATGAGGTTGTGGCGAGAAACTGGGGTTGGCTGATGCTAAACTTAACCTCCTCGACGTCCCTTCGTGAGTGCCATTGATAAAACGTAGTATTGAAAATGAGTAGGATCTTATCTCTCAAAACTCTGGGGCACTCTGCGTTAGCTGGGTAAAATGCTCTCCGTGGCACAGGATTGTTTGAGTATGTATGCTAATAGATCAACAGTGCATACCCGCCTTGCATTCCAAACCTTAAACAATTTGTGGGTGACGCATAGATATGTTGTTATAGAGAAAAAAAAGATAAAAAAAAAAAGAACGAAAGAAACTGACTAATGTGTTCAGGCTGGGGGTTCTCTAAGTCTCTCAAAAGGTCTCAGACCCTCAATTCCGCTCTGCCGCGGTCATGTCCTCTCTCCCACAACGAGAAGGCCGGAGTCAACTCTGGCGAAGCCATCTGGCACAGAACCGGAGGACCCATCGCCTGCAGGGCCATCTCCTGTGAAGCCATCGCGTACGGCCGCTAAGGCAGAGAGACCAACACCCCGCGATTTCGTATACCCATTCACTTCTGCAGGATATAGAAATCAGCCTATTGAGATGAGGACCTCGCACAAGACCACTTCTAAATTGTAAGTAATGAAAGATTACCCCCAGTATTCCTGTTTTGGTGAGGCTGACACCAGTTAATGCTCAATGTAGTGGACGATTTTGGCTTCGGTATGTATCAACACGTCTAGAGGACGAACCAAGAATACTTACCTGACTGTCTCCGATATTAGGGACAATTGCCAGTGTTCGAAGTGTGTCCATCCAGATACAAGACAACGAAGCGTGGACACTTACTCCGTATGTCTCTAGTCCCGGGCTGAGAAACCATTATAAATTGACAGTCCTTATTCTTCGCTTAGATACCGCCGGATGTGAACCCCGAGAAAATCAGCTACGAGGGGGGAATCGCCAAAGTAGAGTGTATGCCTCCCACTCTCTTTTTCCGGAGTAACAGAACTAACCGTATGGAAGGGTCTGATGGCCACCAGGGTGTCTACCCAGTTCGTTGGCTAAGCAATCTTGCGCCGTTGAAACATCGTGTTGTTAGCAAGTCACGCCCAAGTGGGAGGACGAGGTAAACATGTCTTTTTGATAAAAAGCTGCGTTGTATTGACACTCTTGTGTAGAAAATTTATCACTCACAATCCCGAAAGTACCTCTTACCCAACAGTCTTATATGAAAATGTCATGTCTAGTGACGAGGGCTTACGTGAATGGCTTCACCAAATTGTACGTTCTGCCTACTCCCTCTGCTTTCGACCCCTATCTAACTGCTGTAAAGTACCTCCATGGCTTCTGCTTCGTCAAGGGTATCCCCGTTGACCCGGAGTCAACCAAAACCCTCCTGGAGAGGATTGCTTTCATCAGACATACTCACTATGGTAAAACCTTCCATGCGATACAAAATAAGCTCTCTAGTCTTTGTGCTGATTACGCAAAGGTGGCTTTTGGGATTTTACGGCCGATTTGACGTTCAAGGACACTGCATATACCACGGAGTTCCTCGGTGCACATACAGATAATACGTACTTCACTGACCCGGCACGGCTTCAATTGTTCCATCTGTTGTCACATACCGATGGTGACGGAGGCGCGAGCTTGCTTGTCGATGGTTTTCAGGCTGCAAAAGTTATGCGAGCAGAGAATCCACAAAACTATCAAGTGCTAGCAGAAACACCACAGCCGTTCCATACAAGTGGCAATGAGGATACCTGCATCCAGCCGGCAGAACAAATGCCTATTTTCAAGATCCACCCGCAGTTCAATTACCTGTACCAAATCCGCTGGAACAACTATGACCGAGCGGCCAAGAAAGACTGGACCTTAGGAGAGCAGAATAGATGGTACAACGCAGCCCGGCACTTTAACGACATCATCACACGTGAGAATATGCAGATATGGACGCAACTAGAGCCAGGAACAGCACTTAGTAAGTATTGGCTTGAACACGATCTTTCCGAGGAAGAATAGGATTTGACGGATTGTCTTAGTTTTCGACAACTGGAGGATGCTTCATGGTCGCTCCGAATTCACCGGAAAGCGAAGGATGTGTGGCGGATACAGTAAGTAGCACCAACCTCACAGATATCCATACAGTGCAACGATTCCGCGTGAGAACACGCTAACTCCGCTCAGTCAACAGCGATGACTTCGTTTCGCGTTATCGTCTCTTAAGATTCGGCAGAGAGAAGATCCTAAACAACATAGGCAACTTTACGGGACGTATGGACAACCCTAACTTCTTCCTGTAAGGCATCAGTATATAGGAGTTCTTCGGCAACCTTTTAAGTTCTGCCGGGAGTTGTGCATAGGGAGTGGGTAGTTGTACATATTCTGCTGTATATAGGGGATGCCTACCTGAAGGCAAAGCATATGCCTTGGCTTAAGCGAAGAAGAAAAGGATAGAGGATTTGCATAATTCAAAAGGTACCCTCGTTCGGAGAACTATATACAAATGTAACCTGAGGCATCAACTGGCAGGGCATTTGTCATTGTATCACGTGATAGGCACCCAGCAGCTGACGTTGTTTGGTCCGGAGCTCAACAGCTCTCACTCTCTTCCCGCAAGACCCATCCCATAACGCATCACCGCCGTCCCCTCTCTCATTCCCTCCTAGAATACCTGTCTATCCCTCATCTTGCTCTTGTCCCCATAATTAATACTCACCTGTCACCATGTCGACCTTGGAAGATCTCGACGACCTTGACCGTGAAGAGAGAGAGAAGAAGCCCCAAGATGGCGACGGCAACGGCAGGAAGCCCTCCGGAGACGGAGACGCTGACATGAAAGACGCTGAGAAGAAGGATGACGAAGAGGACCTCTTGGACGATGAGATTCTACAATCGAGCACAGCCGACATCGTCAAGCGACGGCGGATGCTGGAGAACGAAATGCGTATAATGAAGAGTGAATATCAACGGTTGACGCACGAACAGAGTACGATGAGGGAAAAGGTTAAAGATAATCAAGAGAAGATTGAAAATAACAGGTATGGGGTTCTGAGATATGCTGGGTCTCCCGTTCCCTTCTTTCGAAGCTGGCTGGGTCGCATTACCTATAGTGGCGAGGTGGTAGGGTTTGGGCTGTCGCAGCATATGTCATCTTGTTATTGTATGTCGGGACATTTCTATTAACGCCTTCCCTAGACAACTACCATACCTTGTTGGAAATGTGGTTGAATTGCTGGATTTGGACGTCGAGGCTGAAGCCGCCGAAGAGGGCGCCAACATCGACCTCGATGCTACTCGAGTCGGCAAGTCTGCTGTCATCAAAACCTCGACCCGTCAAACCATTTATCTCCCCCTCATTGGTCTGGTAGATCATGAGAAGCTTAAGCCCGGTGATCTCATTGGCGTAAACAAGGATTCATATCTCGTCCTGGATACATTACCCGCTGAATATGATAACCGAGTGAAGGCCATGGAAGTCGACGAGAAGCCAACAGAAAAGTACACAGATATCGGAGGTCTGGACAAGCAGATTGAAGAAATCGTCGAAGCTATAGTATGGCCGATGAAGGAGGCCGAACGGTTCAAGAAGCTCGGTATCAAGGCACCGAAAGGTAAATGACCCTCTTACCTTGCAGCTCAACCACAGAATTTACCAACACTCATATTTCCTAGGTGCTCTGATGTACGGTCCCCCGGGTACCGGAAAGACCCTCCTCGCCCGAGCCTGTGCCGCAGAGACAAACGCTACCTTCCTCAAACTCGCTGGTCCCCAACTGGTGCAGATGTTCATCGGTGATGGAGCCAAACTCGTCCGCGACTGCTTCGCCCTCGCCAAGGAGAAGGCGCCCTCGATCATCTTCATCGACGAACTCGATGCAGTCGGCACAAAACGTTTTGACTCCGAAAAGTCCGGTGACCGTGAAGTGCAACGAACCATGCTGGAACTCCTCAACCAGCTGGACGGGTTCGCCTCCGACGACCGCATCAAGGTCCTCGCCGCCACGAACCGTGTCGACGTCCTGGACCCCGCTCTCCTCCGTTCTGGCCGTCTGGACCGCAAGATCGAGTTCCCCCTCCCTAACGAGGAAGCCCGCGCCAACATCCTGCAGATCCACTCCCGTAAGATGGCCGTAGAAGACAGCGTCAACTGGGCTGAACTGGCCCGCAGCACGGACGAGTTTGGCGGTGCCCAACTCAAGGCCGTCTGCGTCGAGGCCGGTATGATCGCTCTCCGGAAGGGAATGAGCAAGGTCGGACACGAAAATTACGTGGATGCTATCGCAGAAGTACAAGCCAAGAAGAAGGATACCAACATGGGCATCTACGTCTAATGTACTGCTATGTTAGACTTAAGAATTTTTTACTTCACTTCACGATCGTATCATCTCTTTAGCTTCTATCTGTCTCTCCCGGCCTTTCTCATATGCCGTGTATCTACGTATCGGTTCCTAACGAAAGTCAATTTCGAAATATTTAGCATGTCATGTCCTGGTTTGGTCGGTTAATGGCCTAGATAAATAAACATAATTACATTTGGGTTTGTTAGCCATTCATCCACATCATTCTATAACCAGAGTAACCCTTGGAGATATCTCCTTGTTTTGCCACTGAAGGCAGATTGGTAGTAAATAATAGTATAGATCATCTTCCAGAATTCGGTTGACATATTTTTAGGCATTAATAGAAGAGATGCGGATATAAGTCGCTAGCTCTCCATCGTACCATATTGAAGCTAATTTATGTTTATTTCATATAAAACGAAAACCCTAGCTATGTAGTTCAGTGAAATTGGTATCCAAACGTTGGCTTCGTATCCTTCCACTGTGCAATGAGTAAATGACTACGATTTGAACTGTTAATCCGAGTCCTAGCCCGAGTACGCATCACGCCGTATTTGTGCAGACCTTGAAGGGGGAGACTACAAGACGTTTGGAATACTGAGTCCATTGAGTGATCTTGCAGCGCTTTCAATTTCCGCTCTGGTACTCTAATCGATGATACTGTGCAGATAACTCCAGGACCCATAAGCCGTTCTTGACAATCTGTTAGGATCTTGAGCATCTTCGTCAAGGTATCGATTCGTGCGCTGTTGATGCCATCTAAATATATATATATATATATATATGAGAATCAATTCCTATGGGTTTGGACTCTCGGTGTCTCTCACCTATGATTCTTTTCGGAATGGGCGTGTATCAAATGTACCAGACATAGGTGATAAAAATCCAGTTTGTGGCATCTGCACAAAACGAGCTAGGACGGAAGCCCTTAACTTGTTTACCCATGACTCTGGAATACAGCCTAAGAGCTTCACGGCAGTCAAAGTAGTCGACAACGACGGCTATCTGGGTTAACAGTGGTAGGTCGACTTCGCGAGGGACCGATTTGGTACGGCAATGCATCAGATTAAGAACCACCTCAAATGCCTGCCTCTAGGTCTGTGTCGGGAATGTTCAACTCGACTATTCCCTTTTGTTTGAGCTCCTCCCCTTCAGCCCATGGCGAGTTTAACCTCCCTTTGAAGTATTTCGATGCGAGAGTAAGATGTTTTGAGGAAGCTTTCGACTCGGGTCGCCTTTGGCTCAGTCTTTGGGTCTGACAACGCTGTCGTTTTTAGGGTCACGATGAGAATATTGTCATAGTCGGGATCGATTACTTTGTAGTCGTGTGAGGGTTGGTATGCTTCCAGATATATTCATGACTGTAAAGTCTTTTTCTAATTCGTTGTATTGAGGTTGTCAGTTCTATAAACTGTGGAATCAGTGTCTGAATCGTTGACGAATCATGATGCGTATTACTGGTCCAACGAACTGTGAGGATTAGTATATCCAAAGATATTTTAGTTTCTAGGAGCAAAAAGTCGAACCATCTTAATAACAGGAAACAGACTTAACAGGATATATTTACGTCTCTCTTTTTTTTCCCCCAAACACAGTTGGTTTCCTCCAGACCACTCAATTAGGTCAATGGAGGATCTTTAAATACTAATATTGCCGCCTTCACCGTGGTACAGTTACCTCTTATAAACAGTAGCTTTTGCGTTTGACCGAGTTACTCTTGTTTATAGTCACAAAGACGCTGACACAACTATAGCAATAGACAGATAGCATTTTAGACTATTAGTGTTCTACTTCTCTCAGCTATAAGGATATTCTTGGCCAGATAGATTAGTCACCTAGAGAGAGGGTGTTTAATTGCCTTGATTTATACCAGGATCTTATTCTCTTACTGGCCTCGGGCAGACCTAAATTAGTTAGAAATTCAGCCCAGCTCTAATAGGGTAACGGTACCGGAATTGAGGGGTGCCAACAATAAAGATTGTCAGCTTATCTACGACCACCAAACTAGAATAAAGAATAGGAGAGCACCAGGAAAACTCTAGGGAGTTATTATATCTAGAAGAGTATTTCAGTCGAGAATCTTAAAGAAGACAACCTAGTCACATATTAATCGTAATAACACTAAGCATTATAGTAGACCTACAGTAGTGACCTAGTCCATGTACATAGAAACATACATACATACATACAGATGGCGATGTACAGCTCCTTATCGAGTAACAAGATCAGGACAAAGAAGAAAAACGAAAGAATACAAGGTATAGTCAAAAGATATAACCGAGCACCACCCAATTAGATACCCGTGTCCCAGATTATTTCCGTCCTTATCCGGTAGATGCGCCTTATATGAAAGAGATAGAAAAGAAGAAAAAAAGGAAAAAGAAAAACATGTAAAGAAAAATATGTGCAGTATGACGGAGATTCTCACGTCTGGGTGTATGTGCTCATATTAGCAATAGAAGGAATCGTTGCACTCTGGGTGAACGCAAGTCAAGTTCAAGAGGGAAGAAAAGTGAGACCTTTCCAAGGTATTCGAAATATCAAAAAGAAAATTTCCTCCGTTGTTCATCCATAACGCCATCTCCGCGCAATTTTATTGCATGAGCCCTGCATGCTCATTTTTTGGAAAGAGAGAAAGATTGAAAGACATGTTTGGGGCGTAAGACTAGTGGTGTAATCGTGAAATCGCTTCAATGGAGCGCGAATCGTTAACCCGGCTAAAACAGCTGTTTGACGTCGATGAGCTTGGTATTCCCCGGGCATTCCCGCTCCATGTGGAACCACCAATCTCGGCCGTTTTTATGGCTATAATTCCAGGAACCGGTGCAGGTGTCCTTGTCCCACGGAAGTGCCGTCGGCGACGAGAGGCTTATGGGTGTCGAAGGTGTCATGGGAGTGTTGGGGCTCGAGCCAAATGTCGAGCTCCTGGTGATGCCTCCGAAGCCAAAGCGGCTGGCAGTCGTCGATGCAGGAGATGGAGGCTCCTCAGGGAGTGGGCTGGTGTTGCCCTTATTTCCGAAGCAGTGTACCCCGACTCCTGCGGCGTATGTTAAGGACTGGTTCGAGGCCAGTACGTGCTTCCAGCCAACCAAGCCGCCATCAGCTTCTTGTCCCTGTACATCAGGGCGCAGGATGAACCGTGGAATGGACACATCTCGCCCCTTCCTCCGGCTGCCCACTCGGCCCATGTAAGCGGGCATCCTAAAGTCACACACGGTAACAGGTCCGTCGTGATTCTCAGGTAACTTATCATGTCTCGACCGCTCCGGTGAACCCCATTCCACAGAGTCGTCCATCTCCATCTCCAAATCGTCGTCCGACATGTCTTCCAAGGCATTGTCTGGCACATAATCGTCAGAATGATCAGTGACGAGTACCCTCATTCCAGTTTCCATATCCTTCGCAGCCATATCAATGAACGTCTGAGCTCGTATCCGAGCCGAGGTGAGGTTATTTCCCGCCGGTAAGGCCATTGGTCGTATGCTAACAGAGCCATGGGAACTGCGAGGGAGACTATACCTATCGGGCTGAAGAAGAGCCTGCCCTTTGGGAATGGGCCGGCACACAGCCTGCAGAACACCAGGCGGCTCTATATCGGATGGTGCACGGAGCGCCTCAAGCTGAGGAAACCCGTCCGAAAGGATGCTTTGGGCGAGATGAGAATTGGGTGTGTTGATATGTCTCGGGGGTTTCACAAATGGCGCATAATCAAGCCTAGTCAGGGCAGTGTTGGGATTGGGACAAGCAACATCCCAATGAAGGTATTTGAGAGTAGATGAGGCGAACAACGGCTGGAAGATAATCCCATCGCTATTTAACGTGGGGCATTTGTCATTCTGAACGATTTTAAACCGTTCTAACTGCGGCAAGGATGTTAAGATCTTCGAGATCACGAGTAAGGATTCAATATTTTGTTCAACGAGGGCCAATGACTTGAGTGAATGAGATTCAGTGCGCGACGTGTACTGCGATAGGCCTGTATCAGTAACGCCGGGCAGGTTCTCCAGGCGCAACGATTCTAATGGCGGCAAGCATAGCAAAGTGCTATCCCCGAAGGCTTCTGCGTCGAAATTTGCAATGCACAGGTTTCGTAGCGATGGTAGGAGGCTGAACATGCGCAGAAAGATGCTCGGCTCAAGGGCATTACTCTCGCTAATTCCGTATAGCATCAGGGTTTCCAGGTTTGTCCACGAGGCGTGATAGTCCAAGAACTCGAACATTTGCGAGGGTCCCAGACTTCCAGGACAGGAGGTGCCGCGAGGCGATTCTTCTGAAACATCAACTGCCTCACCCAAAAGCCATGTATGTTCCTTCAGCTTTCGTCGTGTAGATAATGCGTGGGTCAGCCGATCGAATTGGTGGTTATACGGAATACTCAAGCCCAACAACCGTTCCAGGTTGGGGCAGACCATAACGACAGACGCTACCAAATCTCTGTACTCCTGCCATTGGGTGCTCTGTTTCCCTTGTGTGAACAATAGATCCATTTGGGGGACACGAAGTTCCAGGACAAGGTTGGCCAGCAATTTTCTTTCCCGGAGAGTGCGTCGAAGGAGTTTTAACCGGCTTCCTCGTTTCATCCGATATTTCTTCAGTTGGGCTGGGGAATCGTTGCCAATGATATGGATACGATTGTAACTAATGCATCGTGTCATTTGGTCAGCGTTTGATATCTAGTTTGAGTACTACCGCTGATCTAAAAAAAAAAAAAAAAAAAGGGAAAAAAAAAATTCACTCACAGCTTTGGTCTAACCACCTTTTCCCATGTCCGGCAAGTCAGAGACAGTGCGTGCAAGTCGCGCTGGTAGCATGTCAAGCATCCCTGCTGATTTGAACTAGTATGCAACGATTCTAGTTGGTTTAAGACATTATCGAGCACGTCCAGCGGCAGACGTTTAAACTTTGATTCCAAGATTTTATCCAAAGACGCAGCAGAATCGCACAGATGATATGAAGGGCTAGGCGAGATTGGGGAGTACACTGTCGGGGCT